CCAGGCAGGGCTTCTTAGGCTCTTGTCAGAGGAGAGACCCTGTCTGGGCTTGTTTGCATAGATATTTATGTATTTGTTTGCCTCCTCATAGGCAAACTCAGTCTGCATGAGGTCAGGCTGGCTGGCATCCAGGTGTGACCACCCTGCATGTAAACAGCAGGAGAGGGAAACCCAGAGGGAGTGGCCATGAGGGAGGAGGATTGGCCCCGGCTGACCCTGAACCCAGCTTGGGGACATCTGTGCTGTGGTGCCTGCCGAACAGTGAGCAAAGGAGCTGAACAATGACCCCCTCCCACCTCCCCCACATCTGGAGCCCTGCCTTCTCCACATGTGGATCCAGAAGCCGCAGAAGGTGGGGTGCAGGGGGACACGGGTAGGAGGAGGAAGAATATGGGGAGATTCTAGTCCCTCCCACTTAGAGATGCGGTCGCCATGGTGACTGAGGACCGGTGAGGTGGGATGGGGTTGGGGATGGGGGCGGGGGTGTGGCAGGACTGAGCTCTGGGAGCCGAGAGAGCCTGGCGTTCCAGGGGGAGGGAAACGCGGCAGCATCCCCAAGCGCCAGGTAAGGAAGCAGGAGAGCCGGCAGTTCTGAAAGGAGAGGATGGGCCATTGTCTGGTGCTGGCTCTGCCCCCGAGAAGGGGGCAGACAGAGGGGGTCCGGCCATTGTTTGCGATATTCAGCTCAGCCTTCCAGCACTAGGCAGACTGGAGGAGGAATCCTAGGAGGCGCTGGGTAAGGGGTTGGCGGGATTGGGCTGGGCAGGTGGCAAGAACGCTGAGAGGCAGCAGGGGTGGGGATCTGGGAGAGCAGAGGCTTGGGGCCGTCCCTCGTGCCTTCACACAGCAGGCACAGAATCAATACAAGTTGTTTTGACTCGCTTGTGATCATAGAAGGAGGGCAACGCGGGGCCAGAGCAGGTGGGCTAAGGGAGGGGAGCCAGGACGCTGCTCTTCTCCAGGGCTCTGCTCTTCGGATCTGTCCCCGAGGCCGGAAGGGAGAGGGGGTAGGGGACACTGGACCTGCGGGGTGAAGCCCCGAGTGGCTTCTCTCCTGACACCAGGGCTGCCCCACAGTGAGGTATCCGTGCTCCCAGGGAGCTGAAGAGACAGAGCCCTGGGGTGAGCATGGGGTAGGGGTGAGGAGTGACACCGCCATTTCCCTTCCCACTACCACCCCCACATCTGGATCGCTACCTGGGCCAGAAAGCCTGGCAGGAAGGGGCTACTGTGTGATGTGGCCTTGGGGCTGCGGGGGAGGAGTCCCTGGAAGAGCTGGACCCTGGGGTCAAGGGGTGGGGTTGAACTCAGCATTGTGGTCTAGAGGGTCCCCAAGCTGGGCTCCAGGGCTAGGGGGGAAAGGAGCTGGGGAACCCCCACATCAGGGCTTTGAAATGGCATGGCCCCTTCAGTGTGTTCCCTGAACACCTGACCCCTCCACCACCGCCCCACCTCAACTGCTGCCTGACTCCAGCCCAGAGGACACTTCCTCCTCCTGGCCTTGGTTTGCTCATTTCTATAGTGAGGGGTCAGCTCAGAGCTTCCTTGATGCTGGAGGCAGGACCTGCCACATCATCTGTGGAATCCAGTGCAAACTAAAAATGCGGGGCCCCTTGTTCAGAAATGACCAAGACTTTCCAGACGGCCACGTTAGAGGAAACGAGGGCCCTTCTGAGAGTGGGGCCTGTCTGTGGGCTCTGCCAGCTGCAGCAAGAGAGATGGCAGTGACTCTGAGTCTGATTCCAGAGGTTCTGGTGCAAGAGGGTCAGTGGGCAGCCCTAGCCGGTTTGGCTGAGTGGATAGAGCGTTGGCCTGCAGACTGAAGGGTTGCAGGCTCGATCCCCAGTGAGGGGTGTGCAGGAGGCGGCCAATTGATAATTCTCTCTCATCATTGTTTCTCTCTCTCTCTCTCTCCCTCCCTCTCCCTTCCTCTCTGACATCAATAAAAGTATATTAACAACAACAACAAAAAGAGGGTCAGTGGGTAGGGGCAGGTGGCCCTGCCTCTCCATCAGGCTCTTCCGTGGAGCTGGACCAGGAGGCCCTGTGGAGGCAGGAGGTGGTACCTGATGGCCTGTCTTCCCAGAGGTTTCAGGAATCACCCCAGAGATACTGTTTCTCAGCTCAGAGGAGCCAGAGCTTGTCACCTCCACCTACTTGCCTTCTCCATCCAAGAGGCTGAGCTTCCTGGACCAGGGCTGGAGTAGGACTCTACAGAGACAGTAGAGCTAAGGGATTAGCTTGGAATGAGGCCGATCTGAGTTTAACCTGACTTTTTGCTGTGGAACCTCCCTGAATCAGCTCCCTCATCTGTAAGATGAGGTCCTGGGGGTACCTATCTGCTAAAATTGTTGGGTAAGCCCCAGCCTGATTCATGTGGGCTGGAGAGGCTGGGGAAAGGCCTGAGGCTAGGAGGAGAACGCCTGGGATCTGGAGAAGAAGGGTAATTCCAGGGCATTAATCTAACACTTCCAGAGAGGCCAGAACAGGGCACCAGGCTGGGAGGGTGGGGCTGGACTTTCTACCCCCTTCATGGCCCCCCCCAGTAGAACTCCTCCCAGTGACCCAGATAAACCAATCTGTTCAAGCAGAGAGGCCCAGGGGCAGGGTAGGTTCCCAAATCTGAGCTGGGGTTGAGGAGACACAGAAGGTGGGGTCTGGGTGGGAGTGTCCCTTGCTTCTGAGAATCAGGAAGACTTTCTCTGGGGGGCTCGGTCCACGGCTTCTCCCAAGGACCTGGCAACCAGCCTCCGTGAGAGCCCGAGGGAGTCTTAGGCAGGTCTTGACGGAAACCATTGTCAGGAAGGGTCTGCCTGAGACCAACCCTTGGGAAAATAGGAGGAAATGGGAGCAGAGGGAGAAGGAAAGAAGGCTGAGCAGCCTTTGACCAGGAATTCTTCTAAGGATTGTACCGGGCTGTACCATCACCCTGCAGGCTGGTGCTGTGGCGAGAGGGATGGAAGTGCCGATACAGGAAGGACTTCCTGACAGTGAGGAATGTGCACTTAAGGAGAGGGGTTATTTATTGGAGTTGATGTGCCCTGGGATGGCTGTGCTCTTTATAACCAGCAGTCAGCTGTCTCGGGCTGAGTGGGCAGGAAACTACCCCCTTTGAAGGTCACGGAGCTCTGGGTGCTGGATGCCTCATTAGCCCTGCGTTACGAGGTTCCCCCTGGAGCCCCAGGGGAGAAGTGAGCAGCCACTGTAGGGGTTGGGTGCCTCCACAGCATGTTTGAAAAGTATGAACTCAGATGGGAAATTTTCTGGGCTTCCCACTGCCCTGATGCCGCCCTAAGGGAGATGGAGATTAGACTACAGGAGGGATTTCCTTAGCAAAGCCACGAATAAGGCGGTGTGCGATTGTTTTATTTTTATAAGATCATGGCTCTGCTGGAAGTGGGAGTTAGAAATTTAGAGCAGCGGTCGCCAACTGGTGATCCACAGACCACTGGTGGTCTGTGAGGTCCAAAAGGTTGGCGCCCGCTGGTTTAGACCACTGCAGGGACTTCCAAGCAGGTAGGAGTGGAAAGACCCAGCACCGTGGGTAGGCGAAAAAGGAATATGGAAGACAGTGTCATGACTCCTGTCCGGGAAATCTTGAGTAAGAGGAGAAACCCCTGCTCGGCTGATTAGAGTAGGTGTGATGTGATAGAGGAACAAGAAATGATCTAAAAACTTTCTGGCCCTAGACGGTTTGGCTCACTGGATAGAGCGTCGGCCTGGGGACTGAAGAGTCCCGGGTTTGATTTCGGTCAAGGGCATGTACCTTGGTTGCAGGCACATCCCCCATAGGGGGTGTGCAGGAGGCAGCTGATCGATGCTTCTCTCTCATCGATGTTTCTGACTATCCCTCTTTCTTCCTCTCTGTAAAAAAATCAATAAAATATATTTAAAAAATAAATAAATAAAACTTTCTGGCCTTTTTTTTTTTTTTTAATATTTACCCAAAGGATATTTTTTCCATTTACTTCTATAAGAGAGGGGGAGAGACAGAGAGAGAAACATCGATGTGAGAGAGACACATTGATTGGTTGCCTCCCGCATGTGCCCCAACCAGGGCTGGTGATTGAGCCTGCAACCGAGGTACATGCCCTTGATCTGAATCAAACCCGGGACCCTTCATTGGCTCTATCCATTGAGCCAAACTGGCCAGGGCTGGCCTTTTTTTAGGGGGAGAGGACTGGCCTTTAAAAAAAATTTATAGCCGAAACCGGTTTGGCTCAGTGGATAGAGCGTTGGCCTGCGGACTGAAAGGTCCCAGGTTCGATTCCGGTCAAGGGCAAGTACCTGGGTTGCGGGCACATCCCCAGTGGGGAATGTGCAGGAGGCAGCTGGTCGATGTTTCTCTCTCATCGATGTTTCTAACTCTCTATCTCTCTCCTTTCCTCTCTGTAAAAACTCAATAAAATATATTTAAAAAAAAATTTATATATATATATATATATATATATATATATATATATAATTATTATTATTATTACTGATTTCAGAGAGGAAGGGAGAGGGAGAGAGATAAAAATATCAATGATGAGAAAAAATCATTGATTGGCTGCCTCCCACATGTCCCATACTGGGGATCGAGCCTGCGCCCCGGCTGGGAATCAAACCGTGACCTCCTGGTTCATAGGTTGATGCTCAACCACTGAGCCACGCTGGCAGGGCCTCTGGCCTTTTACTAGTAAACTTTCTGGATAGACAGAGGTGAGAGGAGGGGGGAAGAGAAAGGTGTGTCTCCCTTTAGTCTCCTCCCAACTTCCGCCAAGCCCGGGATCTGTCACAACTCGAGAGGCAGAAATTCTGGTTTCCCTTGCCCAGAGCTCCCAGTGCTGGCTTTGGCACGATGGGTACCTGGAGGGTCTCACTCTTGGCCCAGCCAGGCTAAGCCTCTGTCCCCTGCCGCTGGGGCCCCCACTCACCTTCTTTCTTCTGGATGGCACCTCCACCCGAGAGTCCAGACACCTGGGTTCTACACTGTGGCTGGCTCAAGGGTACGTGAGATGAGACGGGTGGCTGGGCTCGGCGGACCTGAGGAAAAGTTTATGCAGAGACCTGAGCAGACAGACAGCAGCAGCACAGAGTCCAGGGGTGGTGGGCAGCTGCAGAGGCTGGGAGACACAGCCACTTCCTGCCCTGGGCCACTTCCCTGGCAATGCTGTGAGCCAGCCTGGGGGCTGTATGTACTCTCATTGCCACCCTGCAAGACAAGGGCCAGGTAAGCCTGAACATCAAAGACCCGAGCCCGGCTGGCCGGGACAAGGTCAGAGCCGCTGACTGAGACGTAGTCCCCGGCTTGGGTCGTCAGAGCACAGGGGTAAGTATGAGAGACGGGGTACTCACAGATCTGAAAGAGCCGGGAGAGTCAGGTCTGAGGAATTCATATTTGAGCATAGGAATCTGTTCCCCCCCAAATTCCCCTGCCTGGGGCCAGGCAATGGTGTGGGCTCTGGGCCATGACAGGGAGGCAGGCAGAGAGTAGCTAGCAAGGACTTCTCTGAGAGTAAGCCGAGAAAAGGCAGAGCAGGGCTATTGGTGAAAAGAGATCAGAAGAACAGGATGGGGAACAACTCCCTCCTACCCAGAAGGGAGAGTAGGACTGCAGGCTGAGGCCTGTGAGGGTGATGGAAGTGAGACTACTCCACGGCCTTCTGGACAGGAAACTTTGTCATCCCTGCCCTACACACTTCTGCTGCCAGGGGCTCTCTGATTGGTCTAAGTGGGGGCGGGGGTGGGGAGGGTGGCGGAAGGGGGGGATGTGGTGAGGACTGCTTACCCAGAGAGTGCCCCTGTGTCTGTTTCCCCAGAGCCATCTGGTGACAGCCTCTGGCTGAGCATGGCCCTTCCAGCCCTGGGCCTGGACCCATGGAGCCTCATAGGCCTTTTCCTCTTCCAACTGCTCCTGCTGCTGCTGCCAACAACGACCACAGGGGGCGGTGGGCAGGAGCCCATTCCCAGGGTCCGATACTATGCAGGTAAGTGTCTGATGTCCGGGAAGTGTGGGGATGGCAACAGCGAGCTGGAGGGGCGTGGAGGAAGGCGAGATGAATGGAGGAGGGGAAGACACGGAGAAACAGAGAGATGTCCAGGGAGTGACTGAGAGCCAGAAATAGAGGTTCCGACTGAGTCAGAAGTGAGAGATGAAACCACTTGGGGTGAAGAGCAAGGAAAGAGAGACGAGGGGCCAGGTGGCCAGGGCATCACTCCTTCAGGTTCTCCAAAACTGGTGGTTTTCCCTCCCCTCCTTAAATATCGCCGTCCTCAAGCAGGCACTTCGAACCAAAACTGCTTTCCTGCCCTCAGTTCCCCCCAAAGCCAAGGCCCACGTAGAAGATGGTCTGTGGACCTGGGGACTCAGGCTGCTCCAGGCCAACCACACAGATCAGGCTGGACCACGGCAAGTCTAGTACCATGGACCCCAGGGATACGAGAATTGAGGTTGGCCCAGCTGGGGGACGGGCCCTGGAGCCCTGGGGCACAGCTTGGCTGCTTTCTTATTGAGGCTGTGGGGCTGCTGATACACTCGCCTCCAGGGAGAAGATTCAGGAAAGGACATGGGCCTGTAGGAATAGTGGGGGCAGGGAGTCCTGGGCACATAGCATCTTTCTGGGGCAATGTCTAAGCAGTGTTTCTCAACCTTCTGGCCCTTTGAATACAGTTCCTCATGTTGTGACCCAGCCATACAATTATTTTCGTTGCTACTTCATGACTGTCATGTTGCTCCTGTTATGAATCGTCTTGTAAATATCTGATATGCAGGATGGCCTTAGGCGACCCCTGTGAAAGGGTCGTTCGACCGCCAAAGCAGTCGCAACCCACAGGTTGAGACCGGCTGGTCTAAAGGAAATGCATGTTGCCCATTGATGGCGAGGCCTCCTCTGTGTTGGGTGCAGCATAAACAAGACTCAACGTGCTCATAGTCCCGAAGGGAAGCAAACAAGCAGTCATGATCAGTTCTGTAAGGGGGGGTTTAATGCAAGTCTGATGGAAGCCGGCCCTCACCACACACTACTCCCCAACTCCTCCTATTGGTCCTGTCTCAGACTCTGAGCCTTCAAGGTAACAGTTAGCTAGCCAGTCCTCTAACTAATGCAAAAGTGTGAATGTGTCCATGAGAGAGGATTTGAGGAGCTGATGGCCAGCAGGACAGGAACACACAGACCCCCATCTACTCCAAAGTGAGAGAGAGGACCTAGAAGAGCCACCCAGACTCACCTCCCCTGTCCAGGTGACATCCAGGCATGCCCATGGGCCTTTGAAGAGAGATGCTTTCTTTCTGTTCAGCCTAAGGCAGTCATTCTTGTGGTGGAAATTTCTTGCAAGGGGAGGGTAAGGAAGTGGGGTTGGTGAGTGGAACCCTACAACCCACAGCTACTCTGACACAGGCCTGTCTGTGTCTAACTTTCCTGTTTGTGGCTGCTAACACCTCCTACAGTTTATCTGCCTTCTGCTCCCCCTGCCAGGGAGCACCAATGTGTCCTCCCCCACGGCAGCCCCCCAGGCCTGGGAGAGCATCCGTCATGCCTCACTTTACTTCCTGTCCCTTTGTCTGTCTCTTGGGTGTGGGCCACCCTCCCAGGCTGTCATTACTGGTCTCTGGCTGCCTCCCCTCTCTACTGTGGGTTCTACACACGAAGTTCTATGGCTGCCAGTGGAGTGGGTGAAGGGGGAGCTGCCAATGAAGAATGGGTCCAGCTGCCAAGGCCCGAGGAGCACACTCTGCCAGCCCTTTCCCTCCCCCCACCTGTATCTCAGTAATCAGTTGCTGGCCCGCCAGCTGCTCCTCACTCACCACCCTTCTCATCACCTCCTAACAGGGGACGGACGCAGGGTTCTTAGCCTCTTCCACCAGAAGCACCTCCAGGACTTTGACACTCTGCTCTTGAGTGCTGATGGAGGCACTCTCTACGTGGGGGCCCGAGAGGCCATTCTGGCCTTGAATATCCAGGATCCAGGTGTGCCGAAGCTAAGGAACATGGTGAGGAGGCCAGGGATAAAGGGTGCGGGCTGGGAGTGAGGAGGGGGCCCGCAGATGCCCCGTGCCTGTGCTGCCTCTGGGTGAATAATGGCCCAGTTTCTGTCATCTATACAGTTGACCTTTGAACAAGATGGGTTTGAACTATGCAGGTCCATTTTTATACAGATTTTTCCCCCCAGTAATTGTGCAGTTGGCTCTCTGTACTCAGATTTCCCATCCGAGAATTCAACCATTGTTTTCAATCTGCGGTTGGGAATCCATGGATGTTCTACCCCATTTTATATAAGGGACTTTTATGTAGGGGTCCTGGAACCTTACCCCCATGGATACTGAGAGACTCTGTAGTTAAGTTTTGGGGAGTCAAAACTTATATGAGTTCTTCTCACTACTCAAGGGGTGGTTGTTCCTAACCCTCGTGTTGTTTGAGGGTCAACTGTATCCAGTAATAATCAGCAACTCTTGTTATGTGTATCTGGTCGGTAAACAGGCAAGAAATACTATCGTGGCCTCACTATTCATTGGTATTCTGATTACTGGTTGAATAATATTAATTGCTAAAATGGCTGAGATGGAAATCTTTGACACACGAGAGGAACATTGACTCAAATTGTATCGATAATGTGATATCTACCCACTGGTAGAAATCACGGAAGCTTCTGTGTTAATTGTTGTTTTTGTTTTTAGAGTATGTTTATTGAAGCTGGGGATAGTGAGACTTAGGATAGAAAAAGCAACAGGGCAGAGCCTAGGCCAGGCTACTTTGGCTCATTGGACACTCAGTTCGGGACAAGCTGCTGCTGCCCCTTGCTCCCCTGGTTGCAAGTCTCCTGGGGGACCTTAGAGTTTAGGAGATGCACGCCTGAGAGGGAAGAGAGGCGTGGGCGTGTCCCACGGGGAGGGAGAGCAGGCCTATGTTAAATTTTAGTCACCTGTTAACGGCAATGATGTGAGGGAGAAAAGGAGAAGGAAGGAAAAAGGGGAGGGAGGGAGCTAGCAAGGATGGAGCATCTCCACGGTTTGTGTTTCTCAGTGTGGTCTGTAGGGCACCTGCACATATGGGTTACCAGTTAAAAAGGCACATTTCCTGAGGCGTGACTTAGGAACTGACATCTAAACAGTTTCCCTGGGAAATGTGTGGTTTGACAACTGCTGCTCTGTGCACCATGCATTCCTTACGTGCTTTGCATATACTGCCTACTGGTGCCCTCCAGAAGCCTGTGAAACTGACCAAGATCACTCAGCCAGGAAATGGCTGAACCTAGATCCAAACTCAGGTCTAGCGTGGAGCACTATCCTAATGACTAGCAGTATCGTCAGAGTGAGTTCTGGTCACCAACTGATGTTATTATAGTCCCTCAGCAGATCACTAATCGCTGCTGGTGATTTCACACCCAGAGCCAAGGAAGGGATGGCAAGTCAAAGCTAGAGTTGAACACCTCATATCCCTTCATCTCCCCACTTCCAACTCCCCATTTCAGATATCCTGGCCAGCCAGTGACAAAAAAAAGAGTGATTGTGCCTTTAAGAAGAAGAGCAATGAGGTAAGCAGAGGTGGGGGTGTAGGGGCTCTGAGTAGAGAACCCTCAGGCCTCAGGCGGGGCAGGCGGCAGAGGCAGCTTGTTCGCATGATTATTGCCTGCATCACGTTCTATGAAGACATACACGGACTGCCTCCCCACTGCCCAGCCCTTCTTCCCACTAGGAAGTGAGGGAGCATTGGAGTTGGGGGCCCAGAAGTTTGGGGCAAATGTGCTGGAGGCCTGAATTCTCTATCTCCTCCAGACCCAGTGTTTCAACTTCATTCGTGTCTTGGTCTCTTTCAACGCCACCCACCTCTACGCCTGCGGCACCTTCGCCTTCAGCCCTGCCTGTACCTTCATTGTGAGTTACCTGGCGCCCAGCTCTCAGGCCCCAAGCCTCCCTCCTCACATCTACTCCCAGCCCATCCTCTGCAGCTCTGGAAACCTCCTGAGCTTCTGGCCCCAGACCAATGTCCCTCTATGTCCCTTTACCTTCCTCCCTCACACCCCTCATTTTCCAGATATGAGACTCCGGCGTTCTAGTCTCCCATCCTCTGCCCCCTTCTAGGAACTCCAAAATTCCTATCTGTTGCCCATCTCGGAGGACAAGGTTGTGGAGGGGAAAGGGCAAAGCCCTTTTGATCCTGCCCATAAGCACACGGCTGTCTTGGTAGGTGAGTATCAGGTTCCCTGGTCCATCCCAACATCTGCTTTCCCAAGTCATTCTGTGACTTATGGAATCTGAGTTTCCTGAAAGGCAGGGGACAGAGGGAGGGAAAGTCAGGAGCCTCAGAGCACAAGATCAGAGGGGAAACTGGGCACCCCAACCACCAGCTCCTGCTGAAGCTGCTACAAAGGAGGTGAGGAGAGACGGCTGTGGGGAGAGAGGCAGGTCTGGAAAGGGTCTCAGGCAGAGAAGAGGCCCAAGATCCAGCCAACTGTTCAACAAACAGGCTCCGTGTGACACTTCCTCTGTGTGCCAGGCATTGTGCTAACAGCTGTAGGGGTTTCAGTTACCCTCCCAGACACAAACCATTAGACTTCCCAACTTGGCTTCTCGGAGAAGATGGCCTTTGGCTTTTGAGTGGGACCTTGGAAGACAGGAAGATGGGTGGGGAAGGGCCACCAGGAAGAGAAGGGTAGGACCCAAGGTGTGGAAACAGAAAACCAGCCACCTTCTGGGAACAATGAGTGATTCTACTTGGCAAGTGGTTTGGCTGGTTGTGTTGGGGAGTAGCGAGAAAGAGGCTTGGCCACTTCCTGTGAGCAGAAGGGCCTACTAAGCAGGGTGCTCAGTGGGGCTAGGAGCTGGGCATTGGGGCTCCACAGGAAGGTGTACAAGGAATGAGACGGATGTGAATGCTGGCCCCAGACAGAGGCAGGTCTGAGCCGGGTAGGGCCCCTTCCAACCGATCATGTCCGTCCTCTTCCCATCCAGACGGGATGCTCTATTCCGGCACCATGAACAACTTTCTGGGCAGCGAGCCCGTCCTGATGCGCGCGCTGGGATCCCTGCCTGTGCTCAAGACGGACAATTTCCTCCATTGGCTGCAATGTAAGAACCTGAGCCCCGTCCAGGGTCCAGGACAGGTCTGGTCCCCTCCCCCCCCCAGTCACTCTGCTCATTGTTAAGGGCATACCACGTGCAAGGCAGTCCTGGTAGGCACTGGGGGCACAGCAGGGAAGGAGACCGAGCTCCCGTCCCCAAGAAGCTTTCGTGTGACATAAAGAAAGAAGTATCGGTCCTCCTCCCCTCCGCCCCCACGGCTACCCTGGATCAGCCGTGGCACCCGAGGCCTCCAGTCTCCTGGCCTCCAGGGCCAAACCAAGGGTTTTCACCAAGGGGACCCCAGGGCACCCAGGGGCTCAACCCTAAGCCTCTCTGCCTACCCTCCCACCCCCGCCGCAGCGGACGCCTCCTTTGTGGCAGCCATCCCTTCCACTCAGGTCGTCTACTTCTTCTTCGAGGAGACAGCCAGCGAGTTTGACTTCTTCGACAAGCTCCGCACGTCCAGAGTGGCCCGAGTCTGCAAGGTCGGCCTGGGCGGGAGGCGGGGCTGACGTGGACGAGCCAATGGGGAGGCGGCGGGGGCGGGGCTGAGCCTAGAGCCCAATGGGAGAAGGGGAAGGCGGGGCGGGGGCGGGGACCCGTGGGGCCCGAGGCGCCCCTCACCCAGCCGCGCCCCTCACCCAGCCTCGCCCCTAGAACGACGTGGGCGGCGAGCGGCTGCTGCAGAAGCAGTGGACCACCTTCCTGAAGGCCCAGCTGGTGTGCGCCCAGCCCGGCCAGCTGCCCTTCAACGTCATCCGCCACGCCGTCCTGCTGCCGGGCAATGTCTCCACCGACCTCCACGTCTACGCAGTCTTCACCTCTCAGTGGTGAGCCCCGGGCGGGGGGGAAGTGGGGCTCCCTGGGGAGGGGGAGGGGGGGCAGGGAACTGACGTGAGTCCAAATACCTCCCAGGAATTTGATCTCTGCCCTTCATGTAGATGGGAAAAAATGTAGCTCAGAGAAGTTCTTACTAGTTTATATCCTGGCTGGTTCCAAAAAGGGTAGGAGGCAGCTTACAAAAGGCAACCATTAAGAGAAATAAAGTAAAAAAGGAAAGTAAAATTAAAATATCCCATAAAGAAATGGGAATAAAAGGAGAATAAGAGTAGCCGGGGATAGGATCAACATATTACTAACGTTTGTCATGTACACAGTCCCTGGATGCCAAGTCACAAATTTAGCGCCGAGCTTCCTAATGGCCAGAGCAAGGAGAGAAACACCATCAGCGTCATAAGATAAAAATATATCCATTGCTTGGAGCCTAAGAAAGGTGAACTGATTTGCTGTGGTCTGATCCCACAGTGTTTTAGGGATCGGCTGACAATGTGTCAGGTACCAAAGATACCTGGTGTAAGCAGGGTCTGGTATCTGTGGCACCCGGAACTTAGAACTCGGTGTGTGCCACAGTCAAGTTAGAGAGAACAAGAAAGACACCTGTCTCCACAGACCAGGGCTGAAGGAATAGTAGTCTTGTAGTCAGGTTCTATTTCATTCTCTGAGGACCAGGAAGCCACAGGACGTAAAGGAGGAGGGCTTCAACTGGAGCCTGTCAGGCACTGGCTACACTGCCCTTCCCATGAGTACAACCCCAGGGCCTGACCCCCAGTTCATTCTCTTTAAGGATAATCACACTTCACATCCTAAAATGGGCCAGAGTCAGGGGCCCTCCTAGCCCTTATTACCACAACTAGGGGAAGGAGAGGCAGCTAGAGGCTGGCACAGCCCTCCACATTCCTGCCCTCCTGGGGTTCCTTACCAAGGGTAGGCCAGGGCTGGAGGGGGAGCTTCCTGAGAGAGCAGAGGAGATCACAGACCATGTCCCCTCTGGCTGTCTCCAGGCAAATCGGTGGGACCAGGAGCTCAGCTGTCTGTGCCTTCTCTCTCAAGGACATCAAGAGTGTCTTTGAGGGGAAGTACAAGGAGTTGAACAAAGACACTTCACGATGGACTACTCTTGGGGTCACTGATATCAGTCCTCGACCAGGCAGCGTGAGTACCAGCCCCCACACTGAGCAAAGTCCCCTCTTCCCCCCAGAGACACTCACATAATGCACTTACCAAAGTACCTGTCGTGGCATAATAGATGCCCAACAAATGTTAGTTCTCCCCCCGGCCACCACCAGTTCTGTCTGCTGAGATATATACTGGGTCCAGCTGCCCCCATTCCTCAGGTGTCCAGCCCCATCCCACACACAGAGCAGCCCCTTTTACCCCAGCTCCCTGCACATCAAATAAGGGAGGGATCTCCCTGAGAAAACAAGGGAGCCTGGGTTGTGCCAAGGACTGTGTTGGCATCTTCACCTGCATTTCTTAAATTTAACTTTTTTTTAAATCAGAATTGTCTATGTACACTATTTAAAGAATCATACAGATTTACATGTGTTGGTTACCAAAAAAGCCCTATTTCCCTTCCTAGAGAAAACCAACTTCAATTTTTTTAGCTGTTTCTTTTGGTGTTTATCTCCAAATCTCTAAATAATATACTTTTATTGTTACGTCTTGCTGTTTCAGCTTCAGGCAGTATCTACTGCATTCCCATTCTAAGAGGTGAGGATTTACCTGTGTGTCCCCCCCCCCCCCGCCCCCCAGTCGTGTGCTGGAGCTGGCTTGCAGCAACTAGCAAGAACTCTTTTTGCAGTTCTCTTTCCAAATTCGTGTCCAGTGGCATTACAATGGTAACTTGAAATCAACCATGTGGCAGTATAAACCATGGAAATCAGCAAACACTACAAATCAGGGCTCCCCTACCCCCACTCCAGAGCTGCCTTACGAACACACCAGTGCACCCAACCCTCATCTTCCAACAGTTTTATAGCAATTTTGGTTAGATCAAGATTTATATTATTATTCACCAATGAACCAAGTAGTAAGCCCTGATTGCTTCTCCTTTTGCATTTAAAAAATTTTCCCTGGGATTAGTAGTTATTTTGATGTTTCTTTGCTTGCTTTGTTTTCTAAACTCTTATCTTTAATTTAACCCCAGGCTTTTTTTTTTTTTTTTTTTTTAAGTAAAAGAATTTGTTAGTGAAACAGTGAGACAGAGAGGGGCTATTCCACAAACAGAGCAGCCAACTCCAAACTCTTACTCAATTATCTGAATCTCTTCTGAAGACAGACCCCTTCGATGTTCTGACAGTTTCGTCTTCCTGGAACTCCTCCCTGTCTACTGCCATCTAGACTGGAGGCCCTCTGCATTCGTGCACAGCGGCCATCCTGGAATCTCCCCTCCTCATCATTCTGGGCATTGCCTTTGCCTCTTCCTTGTGATGATGTCATGTTTCTTGCATCTCATGGCTTCTTCTTCTTGTTTCTATCTTATTTTAGTGGAGGATAGTCTCTGTAGATTCCTAGGTAGGGATATATAGCGGTAAAATCTTTTGAGATCTTGAGTGTCTGAAAATGTCTTTTATTTTTTTGAAGATGTCTTTATTCTACTTTCACATTTGATAGTATGGCTAGGTACATGTAATTCTAGGCTAGAAGACTTTGAAGGCTTGCTTATTATTGTCTAGCTTCCAGTGGTGCTGTTGAGACATCCAAGGCTATTCTGATGATCCCTCACTCTTTGAATGTCCCCTGGTTTTTCCTCACTGGAGTCTTGTAGGGCCTTCTCTTTGTCCCTGGCTGTTCTGAAAATTTCACACTATTGAGCTTTGATGAGACTCTGTTCATTTATTGTGCTGGACATTCAGTTTGCCCCTTCAGCCTGGAAATTTAGTTCCTTCAGTTCTAATAAGTTTTCTTGAACTATTTCCTCCTATTTCATTCAACAAATATATATATGTAATTTTGTTGTTGTTGTTATTAATCCTCACCCGAGGATATTTTTCCATTGAGTTTTAGAGAAAGTGGAAGAGAAAGGGAGGGACAGAGAGAAACATCGATGTGAGAGAGACACATCGATTGGTTGTCTCCTGCACGCACCCCAACTAGGGCTGGGGAACCTGCAACAGAGGTACGTGCCCTTGACCGAATTGAATCCGGGACCCTTCAGTCCATGGGCCGATGCTCTATCCACTGAGCCAACCGGCTGGGTGGTCAAGGCTCAACAAATACTTTTGGAGACACATGTCACTGCTCTAGGCACTGGGGATACAGCAGTGAATAAAACAACAAGTCCCTTCCCTCATGAAGCTGACATTCTAATGTTAGAATGCTTTTTCTCTCTTCTTTCTGGACCTCCTGGACTGGTCCTCTAACTTTTAAAAACCTTTCCTATTTCCCAAAGCTTTAGTTGTGTTCTACTTTTTGGAAGACTGTCACAATTTTACCTTCCGATCCTTCTACCAGACTTTAAATTTCTGCTAAAATATATCATTTCTGCCCTAGCTGGTTTGGCTCAGTGGATAGAGTGTTGGCCTGTAGACTGAAGGGTCCCAGGTTTGATTCCGGTCAAGGGCACATGCCTGGGTTTCAGACTCGATCCCCAGTAGGGGGCATGCAGGAGGCAGCCAATCAATGATTCTCTCTCATCATTGATGTTTCTGTCTCTCTCTCCCTTTCCTTTCCTCTCTGAAATCAATAAAAATATGTAAATAAAATAAAATATATCATTTCCTAGTTTTTTCAAGCTTTAATTATCTCTTTTATAAAAATGTTCTGCCCTAGCTGGTTTGGCTTAGTGGATAGAGCGTTGGCCCATGGACTGAAGGGTCCTGGGTTCAATTCGGTCAAGGGCACGTAGTGTGTCCTTTCTTCAAGATGTATGTAATATCTGGCTGTCCTCTCTCTTCACTTATCTCTCTTAAGATGGTAATGAGCCCAGCTGTGGCTCCGTGATTGAGGGTTGACCTATGAACCAGGAGGTCATGGTTCTATTCCTGGTTGGGGGGCACATGTGGGGCGTGTGGGAGGCAGCCGATTGATGATTCTCTCTCATCATTGATGTTTCTATCTCTCCCTCCCTCTCCCTTCCTCTCTCAAATAAATAAAAAATACATATATATTTTTTTAAAGATAGTAATGATACTTTGGTGTGAAGTTTTCTTTTCTCCAAATCATTTCTGTTTCTTCTTAGGTTTTCATTTGGTTATATTTTCTATTTGTTTGCATGGTCTCTTTCACGGTCATGGTTTTACTCACAGGTCTGGTCATCCGTGGCTGTCTCCTCATATTTAAGAGCAGGGGACCAGGAGGCTGTTTGGAAACTCTGTGCCCCTGGGTATGACTTGGCAACTTGAGTTCCATTGTAGCTGCACTGAGGATGGTCAAGCTGGGCTATTTTGTTGGGGACCTTTAATGTTAGTATTTTAAAATCTTTCCTCTGGAACCTCTAGTCAGTGTCCTGAGAGCAGACTCTTCTCGTCTTTTGCTAGGAAGGAGATGGTCTGGTTCCTGGTGTCAGGGTGCCATGGGGGAAGGTGGTTGGGAGTGGGGGAGAGTATCCGCCTGTACTGTGCCTGCCTGCACTTACTGCCCCCCTTTCATGGTGGTGTCCCTCCGAACTGTGCCTGCTGTTCTCCATCCAGAAACCCTCTGTCTCCACGAATAAACCTCCAGTCTTGGTCCAGGGCATGGAAGGGACAGTCACACAGGAACATGGGGCTGGGAGGAGATCTGCCTGCTTTTTAAACAAATTTTCAAATAATTCTCTTTACTCAGCGCCCCTCTTTAAGTCATTTCCAGAAGTGACTGGGGCCACTAATTCATGAGCTTTAGAGACTATCTTATAAATCAGACAGCTTTGGTCTACCCCAGGATCGTCTTAAGAAGACTTTTTATTTCTGCTGAGTCTCTTAGTATTTGTTCATTTGTTTTCCAGCTTCCAAATGCCTCCTCTTCAGTCCTCCCCATCCCTGTAGGTTTGCCTTTGTAAAGAATCCCTTTGGGAGGAAGCCAGTGTAGGTGCCTGTGCTCATCCTGGTATCAAAATGCGATGTAAATGCTATTGCCTCACTTTACACCTGAGGAAATGGAAGCTCATAGAAGTGGAGTAACTTGTCTGGGGACACAGCTTGTAGGTGACAGAGTTGGGGTTGACCCTAAAACAGTGCTCTTGGATATGAAGGACAAGGGTCCTGACTAAAGGTCATAGCACAGGTGTCCCAAGAGCCCTAGCAATCTGGTGTTGGCAGGGCCTTTAGAGAACAGCCAGTTCAACCCCTCATTTTATGGGTGAGAAAAGGAAGCCCAGAATGCAGAAGAGACTCTCCCAGAGTCATGTAGCAAGTTCATGCAAAACCTTGATGAGAAAACACTCCCTGCCACACCACCCTTTTATATGCTATCTTTCCTTTAATCACTGGCTCAGCAAACATTTATTGGCACCAATTGTGTACCATGTCCTATGCCAAGCCTCCAGCTACAGACATGCGTGAAACAGGGTTCTTGCCTGCTAAGGGCTCTCACCCTGCTTCCTGCCAGCTGCCAGGCATCCTTGATGGAGGTGAGGAGGAGGAGGAAAGCCATAATGGCTAACATTTATTGAGTCCTTAATTCACGCCAATCACTGTTCTAATTACTTTTCATGTATTTTACTGTTCATCCTCCCAGCAAACCTGTCATATATTGGTAATAGGCCCATTTTACTGTTCAGGGACCTCAGGCATGTGGAGGCTAGAATTCAAAGCCCAACCACTGTCTGGAGATGAGGAATGCCAGGAAGGAGGGAACAAAGGAGATCAGCAGAGGGGGGAGAAGGGAGGGAAGAGGCAATGGGTGGAGAAAGCTGACCTGATCTGCCTTCTTCCCCCTTCAGTGCTCGATGGGCCCCTCCTCTGATAAAGCCTTGCTCTTCATGAAGAACCATTTCCTGATGGATGAGCAGGTGGTGGGAACGCCCCTGCTGGTGAAGTCTGGTGTGGAGTACACACGACTCGCAGTGGAGACAGCCCAGGGCCTTGATGGGCACAGCCATCTGGTCATGTACCTGGGCACCAGTGAGTAGAAGGCTTCAGGACGTCCCTCAGGGGACTGGAACTGAGGAGGGGAATCGTTGCGTATATTCACGCATGCATTTATTCAGAAAGTGTTTTCTGAGCACCTACTATGTGCCTGGCACCCTGCTAGGCTCTGAAAATACAGTGGGGAAGCAAAACAGCTCATCCCTACCTTTTGTGAGCTTTCAGTGTGGTTGGGGGGATACACACAAGGGCTTTGGTGGCCTTAGCAAGAGCTGCTTATTTTATGGGGGAAGCCATGTCAGAGAGGTAAAGAGCGAGTGGATAGAGGGGAACTGGACACAGCAAGTGCAGAGATCATTCCTTCAGGAGGCGTGGCTGTGAAGGGGAAGAGAGCAAGGGGGTGATGGAGGAGGGTGTGGGGGTCCAGCCAGCATTCTCTTTTTAAATATGGGAAATATTGTCAAGATCCAATAGGGAGAGAGATGGTGAGAGATGGGCAGGCGAGGGGATAATTGGCAGGTGAGGTTGCAGAGGAGCAGGAAGCCAGAGTTTGAACTCACAACCTGGGTATGTGCCCTGACCAGGAATCAAACTCAAGACCTTTTGGTATATGGGACGATGCTCCAACCAACTGAGCCACACTGGCCAGGACAGCAGAAAGAGCTCTTATGTGAAGGCTTTGTGTTCTCTATGAAGTAGGAGGACACAGGTCCTGAGTGGGAAAGGTGGGAGGTGTGAGGAGAGAGGGGTGGATGCAAATAGTCATCATGGAAAGCAGGAGAATCACAGGGGAGCGTGGAAGATTGCCACACCTATATATTGAGGGCCTGGTGAAGGGATGACCGTGAGCTTTAGTGGAAGGAAACCTATCAGATTCATTCATTCATTCATTCATTCATTCATTCATTTAGGATCTGTTACTAAGCACCCTACCAGCCATGCACTTACGGGGTGCACAGTAGAGAATGAAACAAACAGGAAGCTTGTCCTTGTGGAGTGCAGGGAGACAAACAAACACCCCAAGTCAACGGCGTCAGATGTTATGAGATTAGAAAGTTAGTTTAACATGAGGGGGGATCAGTAATGCCAATCAGAGTGGTTGCAGTTTTTCAAAGGGTGGTCAGTCCTTAGTGATTGAGTGTCGACCTATGAACCACGAGGTCACAGTTCTATTTCTGATCAGGGCACATGCCCGAGTTGTGGGCTTAATCCCCAGTGTGGGGCATGCAGGAGGCAGCCAATCAATGATTCTCTCTCATCATTGATGTTTCTATTTCTCTCTTTTCCTCTCCCTTCCTCTCTTAAATCAATAAAAAATATATTTAAAAAATAAAAATAAGCCCTAACCGGTTTGACTTGAGTGGATAGAGCTGTCGGCCTGCAGACTGAAGGGTCCCAGGTTCGATTCTTGTCAAGGGCACGTACCTTGGTTGCAGGCTCCTCCCTGGCCCGGGCCCTGGTTGGGGCTCGTGCAGGAGGCAACCAATTGATGTGTTTCTCTCAGATTAATGTTTCTCTCTCTCTTTCCCTCTCTCTTCCACGCTCCCTAAAAATCAATGGAAAAAATATCCTCGGATGAGGATTAAAAATAAATAAATAAAAATAAAAGGGGGGTCGGGATAGAACTCCTTGAAGTGCCTTTGAGTATAAACACTTATGGAGGCGAGGGAAGCTGGTGATGTGATTTTCCACGGGAGCTCTCAGCTGTCCACTGGCCCATGCCCACGGAGAATGTGTGTCCCTGCAGGGATGGAGCTTTATTAGGTGGTTGCACAGGAAGGACAGGGGCAGGGATTTCAGGCTGTTTACAAGAGCTCTCCATCTCCGTGGCACAGAGGAAAACGGTCAGGCAGGTCCATGTCCAGTGCGTGTGAAGCTTCAGAGAGCACTTGCTGACAACGGGGAGGCCACCTGGAGTCGGGAGGAAGAAGGGCGGGATCTGGGGAAGAGGTGAGGCCATTTCAACGCTGTCTTTCCACAGCCACAGGGCTCCTGCACAAGGCTGTGGTGAGTGGGGACAGCAGCGCGCATCTGGTAGAGGAGGTCCAGCTGTTCCCTGAGCCTGAGCCTGTTCGCAACCTGCAGCTGGCCCCAACCCAGGTGAGAAGGGACCTACTCAGGGGGTGGGCCTAAGGTGCTGGGGCCTTGCTAGGTGTGCGGGCAGCACCCTGACACTCTCCATCGCTCTTGCAGGGTGCACTGTTTGTAGGCTTCTCAGGAGGTGTCGTCAGGGTTCCCCGAGCCAACTGTAGTGTCTATGAGAGCTGTGTGGACTGTGTCCTTGCCCGGGACCCTCACTGTGCCTGGGACCCTGAGTCCAGACTCTGCCGCCTCCTGCCCACCTCCATGCCGTGAGTGCCAGTCCTGGATGGTGCCAGGACTCTTTCTACCCTGCTCGTGCCCCTGTTCTTCATCTCTTTAGGGGCTACTGACACAGTCCCTCCAAGATCCCCCTCCTCCAGGGGGCTCCTCCAGGGACAGGTTGCACCCAGCAGTTTAGAAGCTGCTCCAGCATCCTGGGTCTCTGCGCTATCTCATGTGTTCCCCACCCCCCACCCCCAACTTCTTTCCCACTTACCCCTCCCTGCTCTTCCCACTTTTGTCTTCAAGGATGATTTTTTATTGCCTTGCTTTCTCAGGACGTCCTGGAGGCAGGACATGGAGAAAGGGAACCCGCAGTGGGCGTGTGCCAATGGCCCCATGGGCAGGAGCCTCCGGCCTCTGAGCCGCCCCCAAATCAGTGAGTGTGGGGCCAGGGGAGGCGCAGAGGCTCGGGGGGGACTTCTCGGCAGGGCAGGCATTCTTGCCTCAATATCTTCCCCAGCATCTGCCTGGCTTGAGACCTGAACCCCCAGAGTTGCAATGGATTTGGGTCTTGGCTATCGGGAGAGGGCATAGGAGTTCTAAGGTGGGATTCGGGATCGAGGGTAAAGTTGGTTTTGGTGTCAGAGTTGGAGTGAGATGGACTGGAAGTCAGTTTCGGGTTCAGATTGGAGATAGGGAGGGGTCAGTTGAGTTTGGGAGTTGAAATGGGAATTGGAGATGTTCATTGGGAGTCCAGACGTAGGATTAGAGACACTCTCCTTCTTCCTTCTCCCCCACATCCCTTAACTTTTTGCCCCCTTTTCTTCACCTACAGTTAAAGAAGTCCTGGCCGTTCCCAACTCCATCCTGGAGCTCCCCTGCCCCCACCTCTCAGCCCTGGCCTCTTACCGCTGGACTCACGGGACAGCAACAGTCGCAGGAGCCTCTTCCATGGTTTACAATGGCTCCCTCCTGCTGCTACTGCGGGACGGGGAGGGAGGCCTCTACCAGTGCTTGGCCACCGAGAACGGCTTCTCATATCCTGTGGTCTCCTACTGGGTGGACAGCCAAGACCCGCCCCTGGCCCTGGACCCTGAACTGGCCGGCATTCCCCGGGAGCGCATGGAGGCCTCACTGACCAGGGTCGGTGGTGGGGCCGGGCTGGCTGCCCAGCGGTCCTACTGGCCCCACTTTCTCACTGTCACTGTCCTGCTCGCCTTAGTGCTTTCAGGAGCCCTCATCGTCCTCCTCCTCTCCCGACTGGGGGCACTCCGAGCCCGGGGCAAGGTCCAGGGCTGTGGGAACCTGCCCCCTGGGGAGAAGGCCCCATTGAGCAGGAAGCAGCACCTCCAACTCCCCAAGGAACACAGGACCTCCTGTGATATGGACGCCGACAGCAACCACCTGGGCACCGAGGTGGCTTAAACTCTGGGCACAGACTGAGCCGTGGGGCAGTGCCTGGCCGTGCTGACCGGGGTGCCTGGAGCAGTGCGGACCTGACTAGCGGGGAGCAGCACAAAAGATCACCTTCCTCCCTCAAGAGCAGCTTCTCTGCCACTCTGTGCCACCAATAGCACTCCGTGGGCTGGGCACAGTGGCCGGCTCCCCTACGGGATTCCCCTGTGCCAAGCGCATGGGCTCTCAGACGGGGGCTGCCCCAGGCCTGGACCGAGGCTATGATAGGAGGACCTAGAGAGGATCCTTCAGTTCTGGCCAAGCCGGGACCCCCCAGAAACATACTGCTCCGGGAGACCCTAAAGCATCTGGCTGTTCCAGGACCCTGGGGTAACCCACAACATCTAAGCAACCATCAGCTCGCACGCCGCTCCCGGAGACTCCACCTGATAGCCGCTGTCCCTGGACACCAGTTCTCCCCTCTCCCAGGGATCTTGAGGGTTCAGCAGGGAGCTGCCCCCTTTATGTGCACCACTGACCACCTACCTTCCTTCCTGCTTCAGGTGGGGGCGGCGGTGGCCTCTTCTGGCCTGGCTAGAATGGCAGTGGTAATCTGAGCCTTGTTCGCGTCTTTACCCTGGCTGACCCTTTGCCCTCTGTCCTTTCCCCTTTCCTTCGCTTTGGGATTCAGAAAACTGCCTGTCACAGTTTATTTTTTATTAAAAAGACAAAGCTTCGGCCCTGTGCTGTTTCTGTGGGAGCAGAGTTCTGCAGCAGAGGACTGCACGATGTAAGGGGATTAGGCATGGAGGCGTCAGGGGGAGGAGGGCCAGGGTTAGGGGGTGATTGTTCCCTGGAGCTCTTCTGCCCTGAGCTCCCCCTCCCACCCCCCAGACCAGCCGGACAGTTCTTTCCTCCCCTCCAGCCACTGCTAGAGTCAGGCTTGGCCTTTCACGCCAACACTGTTGCTCAGCCTCAGCTCCTGTCTGCTGGCCAGGCAACACCTGATCCGCCCCTGGGTGATGACTGGCAGGTGTCCCTGCTCAGCCTGCTGTTGCCGTCCCTCACTCCCCCACATTTCTTGTGACTCCAACTCAGCCCCTCTTTCCCACTGCGGCCCTTGGGTTCACCTCTTGGTGGATGGAATTTATAGAAAGACCATCAGCCTCTCCATCGTGGCCACATCCTTCCCAATATCCAACAAACAGTGCCCTCTCCACGCCCCCACACCACCTTCCCCCTCTCCCTCCCTTCACAAAGGCCCATGACCCTCTTCCAACCAGTGCCTCTGCCCTCTTCTCTCTGCAGAGACCCCCAGCGTGGCCCCCTCACTTTACCTCTCCCTCAGCTTAACCTCTCTCCCACCCTCAGCTGTGCTGGGTGTTCTAAAAAAATAACCCTCCCCAACTCCAGCATTTGACTCTATGCCCTCCACCCTACTTGCGCTCTCTCCCCTTTACCACCAAACACCAGAGAGGGTAGGTACTGGCTGCCTCCCCCACCCCACCCCCAATGTCACCCTCACCTTTAATCCCCTGTGGTCTGGCTTTCCCCCCTACCTCTCTGCTCAAATGACTTTCCACAATTACCCATAAGCAACTGATCTTGACTTACACAATCTTCACCCTTAATCTTCTCACCACTCCTTTCTACTGTGGTTTCTTATTTTTGCTTTAGTTTTTTTTAATTGTGATAAAAAGCACACACTATAAAATGTATCCTCTCAACAATTTTTAAATGTGCAATTTTCAGTAGTGTTTACTATGACACATTGTTGCATAATGCGTCTGTAGAACTTTCTCATTTTGCAGAACTGAAAGTCTATGTCCATTGAGCAACAACTCCCCATTACCCCTCCTCCCAGCCCTCGACAACCAGCATCTGACCCTGTCTGTGAATTTTGACTACTTCAGGTACTTCATTTAGGTGGAATCTATCCTAAAGTCGTCAATATACAGCTGGCTTATTTCACCCACCATAGTATCCTCAAGGTTTACCCCACTGTAGCATGTGACAGGATATCCGTCCCTTTTTGAAGCTGAATAACAATCATTGTATATATATATACACCACATGCTTTTTAGCCGTTAATCTGCTGACGCACATGTGGGTTGTTCCCCATCTTTGCTGTTGTGAACATGCTGCAGTGAACATGTGGTGCAGGCTCCCTTCCAGACCCGGCTCGCTCCTTCACTGGAGTTATTCGGCTTCCCTGGCTCTTTTTTCTACCCTGCTAGCTCCTTTGCACCCTCCCATTACCCAACATTTTTACCCTGCGGTTTCACTTTCCAAGCGCCCTTTCCAAACTTCCCCTCCTTGACTCACCAGACGACCTCCAGGCCAAGGGCAGTGGGACAGCGTGGGGCAATGGCAAGGGCAGTGGGCCAGGATTGGGCTCCTGGGGACTTCATCTGCTCTTTGTTTTTTTATTTTTATTTTTATTTTTTAATATATTTTATTGATTTTTTACAGAGAGGAAGGGAGAGAGATAGTGAGTTAGAAACATCGATGAGAGAGAAACATCGATCAGCTGCCCCACATCTCCCACTGGGGATGTGCCCACAACTCAGGTACATGCCCTTGACCGGAATCGAACCTGGGACCTTTCAGTCCGCAGGCCGACGCTCTATCCACTGAGCCAAACCAGTTTCGGCTGCTCTTTGTTTTTTTAAATATATATATTGATTTCAGAGAGGAAGGGAGAGAGAGATAGTAACATCAATGATGAGAGAGAATCATTGATCGGCTGCCTCCCTCCCGCACGCCCCACAATGGGGATCGAGCCCGCAACTCCGGGCATATGCTCTGATTGGGAATCGAACCTTGACCTCCTGGTTCATAGGTCAGCACTCAACCACGGAGCTACGCTGGCTGGACTGGTTGTTGTTTTTTAATGGACATTGAGCAATTTTAATCTGAGAGCCCTGAGATGCTTCCTCAGATGGGTTGAGTTAGTGTTTCACACAGTGCTGTGCATCTCTTTGATCTACACACACCCTCATTCACACTTCCCGCTGGAGAACATGATTTCTCTGTGGAGCGGAACGCTTTTTTTCTGTATCTCTAGGGGGCAGCATCGGCCTGGTATGCAGTAAATGCTCAATAAGTATCTTTATTTTATTTGTTCAAATAAGACATGACATTCCATTCCCTTTTGCGCACTTCCGCCCCTCTAGAGAAGCCGGTTCCTTCCATTTACCGGCAGGTTTGCCAAGTCCCATTAAGGTTCTCAAGTTTCCCTGTTCTGTCTCATGCCCTTCAGTGACCTTCACACTTGCATGTGAGCTAAGAGGACAGCAGCCAACGTGCCGCCCTGCTTGTCTGCTGGGGCTTCCTGACCTGGGATTCGATGCCAGCCCAAGGGCCCCGGGCGGGTGGTTCACAGTGCTGGCTCCTTTACACTTTTTACATCATATTTTAAATTGCCACCCACTCAGAGAGGCCTTTCCCAACCACCGTATCAGAAAAGCTCTTTGCTCCAATCACGTTCACCCCAGCACCCTGTCTCAGCTTCTGCACAGCACTCATTGTGTCACTGTTCAAAATCGTCTTTATTTATTTAGTTATTTAACCCCCTTCCCTCCCTTCCCCCCACACCATCTCCCCCACTCCAAGAATTTAAGCTCCAAGAAAGCGTTGGTGTTTTCTCTGGCATTTTGCAAACCCTGGCAAAGAGGCAGTGGGCTCTGAGCTACGCTGGCTGGACTGGACTTCCCCCGTTTTGCCCTAAAGGTCTTTTAACTAATTAGATGAGGCCCACCTACATTATCAAGGTAATCTCTTCGAAAGCCAATTTATTGTAGATGTTAACCACACCTACAAAATTCCATCACAGCCATGGCCAGTAAGGCTGAGTTGGTTGGAACGGCTGTCTCATAAACCAAAAGGCCAAGGGTTCAATTCCTGGTCAGGACTCATACCTAGATTTCAGGGTGTTTGCAAGAGACAACTAGTTGATGTTTCTCCTTCACATCAATGTCTCTCTCTCCCTTCTTTTCTTTCTAAAAAAATAAAAATAAACAAATAAATATTATTATTAAAAAAATACAATCACAGCAACAGTATTAGTGTTTGAGTAAGTCAGTACGATAGCCTAGCCAAATTGACATAAAGCTATCACACTAAGTTTGAAATCTCAGATTTTTTTGAAAGAACAATTCTTATGTCCTCCCAGCCTCGCTGCTTGCCTTCCCTGGGACTGCCCTGTGTCGGTGGGTCTCCAGGGGTATAGGCTTTAGTGCTTCCCTGGTGGGCAGACCCCTGGGGATGTGGGCCCAACAAGTCCCAAATTTATTGTCAACAGTCTTATTCCAAGTTCTTAATAAGTAGTACATGGTATTTCTGTAACACTAGGGGGATTTACTGATTTATTCTCTTCCTTAATCCTGTTAATCCCTAACTCCAGGGAAAAAATCCTCACCTGGGGAAACAACCTTTCTCGGGGAGGTGGTCTTGTTTAAAACACATAGCGCTAAAGGGGGAGCAAACATATTAAGAACAGTATGCCATATACGCCAGGTGCCTTGAAACATATGCTGTGCAGATGTTTCTTTCCTGCAGCGACTGTGTCAAGCAGCAAGGATGGACCGGCTTCCGGCATCCAACTTCTCCATATCCTTGCTAACACTTGTTACTTTCTGGGTTTTTATTTGTTTGTATGTCAATTATAGCCATCCTAGTGGGTGTGAAATAGGATCTCATGGTTTTGCCCTGACCAGTTTGGCTCAGTGGATAGAGCGTCAGCCTGCGGACTGGAGGGTCCCAGGTTCGATTCTGGTCAGGGGCGTGTGCCTTGATTGCGGGCACATCCCCAGTAGGTGTGCAGGAGGCAGCTGATTGATATTTCTTTCTCATTGATGTTTCTAGCTCTCTATCCCTCTCTCTTCCTCTCTGTAAAAAATCAATAAAAAAATATGTATTTTTTAAAAAAGGATCTCATGGTTTTGACTCATATTTCCCTAATAATTAATGATATTGAGAACCTTTTCATGTGCTTGTTGGCTATTTGTATATCTTTGGAGAAATATCTATTCAAGTCCTTTGCCCATTTTTTAATTGGGTTGTTGTCATTTTGTTGTTGAATTATAGAAATGTCTATTTTGAAATGAATTGACTCTCCACTCCAGGCCTCCCAGCCCCTCATTTAAAGAGCTCTTCCTCTTGTTTTAAATCCATGCGTAGGCAAATCGTTTCAGAGTTGAAGCGACCCTTAATGTCATTTAATCCACCTCTAGGATGTCCCTTATTCCTGCATTTTTTGAGTCCCCAAGCTTCAAAATTGGTTGTCTACCTTTCGTCCTTCCTGCTGCACACTGGCCTCTACTGTTCTGACTCCAAGGATGAGAAAAGCTACACAAAAATTACAGATGAGATTTTAATTTAAGGATTCTAATAGATCCCAAACGCAGGTGACACATTTAGACCGGGATCTTCCAGAAGCAGCGGGTGCCTCGATTTGCACGAATGAGAAAGGACACGCACGCGCCGTAGAGCTGAGGGCATAGCGAAGCTAATAAAAGTGTGGCTTCTGCCCGAATTCAAGATGGCCGCCGGGACAGCCCGCCCTCGCCCCGGACTCCAGACACCATTGGTGGAGCTGCCTACCACTCATCCCCGCTCCCCGGGGGGCGGGATGACAGCGTCCCAATTTCCGGTTCCGGTTAGTACCAGGAGCCGGGTCGAGATGGAGGAAGATGTACACCGAGGCTGGCAGTCGCCGGGTACCGCGGATAGATTGGGAACTGCGGCCTAGCGGTCTGGGCGTGGAGTTCGCCTCAGGCGCGGCGGGACCTCCCTGGTCTGAGAAGGTAAGGAACCGCCGGCTTGGAGCGCCTAAGGGCCTGGACCTGTCAAGGAGGCAACGGGTGTCTGTGGTGCCCGGCTGCAGTTCCGTGGGAGCCCGCATGCTGTTTTGGGCATGAAGGACGACTCCAAAGGGGCATCTTTTCCTGTCGGAAGAGGATGAGGTTCGCCGACAGCCACAGAAGCATGGCGAGGAGCCTGTCCGAGGACCCAGAGGTGGCTGTGCGGAGGCCAAGTGTAGAAAGGGGGTGTCACATAGAGGAGGTGGCGAGAATTGTCACGTGGTGTCTGTGCTGAGGGATCACGTGGGTACCTCTTGAAGACCAAAAGCCTGGGTGGGTATCTCACCTAATCCTAGGAAGATAATCGGAAGGGAGGGGCCAGAGATATCACCAAGGACGTCCTCTAAGGAAATGCTTGCATTCGGTGTACATCTTCCTCCATCGTTAATAAGACAAGTGGTCCAGCATGTAAACATATTCACGTTCATGTAGCTAGCTCCCACGATCCAGAGCGTTGAAGCAGATGCAGTAGGGGACAGAAGGAGGGAGCAAAGATCTTATTTCCAGTTGGGAAGTGGGGATCAAACCCCATGGGCGTCTTGTCAGGAGTTATAGAAGGTGATTTAATTTGATGGGGGTGGTTGGCTGAAAAGATCTGAATGAGTCTAGTAAACATTTTAAAAAAAATACATTTTTATTGATTTGAGAGAGAGAGAGAGAAACATCAACGATGAGAGAGAATCATTGACCAGCTGCCTCCTGCACGCCCCCTACTGGGGATGGAGTCCACAATCCAGGCATGTACATACCCTGATTGGGAATCGAACCTCATAGGTTGATGCTCAACCACTGAGCCAGGCTGGGCCGGGCAGTAGTAGACATTGAGCCAAGTTCTGGTAACAAGTCTGGAGGGAGTAAGGGCTCCTAACCTAGTCATAAGGATCCTGGACTTTTGGAGTCTTGTAATCATTTTTATATTGCTGGTAATCCTTAATATTTAAAGTAATGTCTCTAAAATTCTGACATATTAATCATTCCAGATCTTGTTAAAATGTTGGTTATTCAACAGATCTAGGGTGCATTCTGAAATTCTGTATTTCTCACAAGCTCCCACTGAGGTCCATGCTGCCTGGTCTGTGTACCACTTTAAACAGCAATGATTTAGAGCAACATTGTTCAGTACAGCTTTCTGTAATGATAGAAATGATATTAGCTCATATGAGTTACATCACACTGTTATACAGTCATGTATCACATAACAACATTTCAGTCAATGCCAGACCACATATACAACAGTAATCCCATAATATATAATGGAGCTGAAAATTTTCTATTGCCTAGTGACGTTGTGGTCATCGCAATGTAATGTTTTAGCACAACACATTTGTGGTGATGCTAGCGTAAACAAAACAGCACTGCCAGTTGTATAAAAGTAAAGCACAGACGCCCTAGCTGGTTTGGCTCCGTGGATAGAGCATGGGCCTATGGACTGAGGGGTCCCAGGTTTTATTCCAATCAAGGGCACATGCCTGGGTTTCAGGCTCGATCCCCAGTAGGGGGCATGCAGGAGGCAGCCGATCAATGATTCTCTCTAATCACTGATGTTTCTATCTATCTCTCCCTCTCCCTTCCTCTCTGAAATCAATAAAAATATTTTTTAAAAAGTAAAGCACATACAATTATGTCCATAATATTCGATAATGAACAGTTGTGTTATTGGTTTAGGTATTTGTACGCTATACTTTTTTTGTTTTATTAATCTTCATCCTTGGATATTTTTTTCATTAATTTTTTAGAGTCAGTGGAAGGGATGGGGGAGGAGAGAGAGAGAAACATCAATGTGAGAAAGACAGATGGATCGGTTGCCTCCTGCATGTGCCCCAACCGGGCTGGGAATCAAACCCTCGACCTTTCCGTGCATGTATGTATGCTCTAACCATTGAGCCTACTGGCAGGGCTTGCTATACTATACTTTTAATCATTATTTTAGAGTGTACTCTTTCTACTTAAAAAAAACAACAACAACTTTGCACCCTGGCTGGGTGGCTCAGTTGATTGGAGTGTCTTCCTGTACACCAAGAGGTTGTGGGTTTGATTCCTGGTCAGGGCATGTACAAGAGGCAACAGGTCCATGTTTCTCTCTTTCTTTGTAAAAATCAGTAAAAAATCATATCCTTGTGAGGATTAATAAAAAAAAGTTTGCTATGATCAGTATGCTGTGTTATACTGACAGCAGCCCCACCTGTTTCATGTTTGCCAAATCTCTTGATTGCATTATTTTTGCTTGCGCTTGATTTAGTGTTTTATAAATTTAGTGCAGCCTAAGTGTACAGTGTTTGTAAAGTCTACAATAGTGTACAGTGATGTCCTAGGCCTTCACATTCACTCACTCCTCACTCACTCACCCAGAGCAACTTCAGTCCTGCAAACTCCATAGTAAGTGCCCTATACAGGTGTACCATTTTTTATTTTTTATACTGTATTTAGACTGTACCTTTTCTATGTTTAGATTCACAAATATTTATCGTTGTGTTACAGTTGCCCACAGTATTCAGTACAATATGGTAAATGTTTGTAGTCTAGGAGCAACAGACTGTACCACACAGCTACCAGTAGTCGGCTACACAATCTAGTTTTGTGTAAATTAACTCTATGATGGAAGAGGAGCTCAAACGTGGCCCTCCTGACTCCTAGTGTTCTTTCCACAGCATGGCCTTGCCTTCCAGGTGACATTGCCTTGTCCTGAACCGTAATCTCATCTCAGAACCTAGTGAACAGTCAAGTGTGATTTTTCTACAAAGGAAAGTGGAAGTGGAGAGGATGTGTACTGAATCCACCAGTTTGTTCCTTTCCACTGCTGGGCTTGGTAGTGAGGGTTCTGCCTCTGGCATCTCATTTGATGACTTCATAGGAAACACTTCAGCCTTCGTATCCAAGCAGTGTTAAAAGATGGGGGAAATTCAGAATTGGAGCCATGTACACAAAATAAGGGTCTGGGAAGAGCCATAATGATGTTGGGCTGATTGAGTTGGGAAGGCTAAAGGAAGTTTGCATACTGGTATCTGCAAGGAGGATTTTCCAGAGGGTAAAACAAGAGGTACTGGTTTTGTTATTTGAGCAGGAAATTTGGCATTTATATAATACTAAAGGCCTGGTGCACAAATTCGTGCATGGGTGGAGCAGCCTGGGCTGGCTGGGGGAGGGGCTGCCGGAGGTTGGCTGGCCTGCCCCACCCCTGATCAGGGTGGGGGGGCCGATCTGGGGTGGGCCAGCCAGGGGGAGGGGCCACAGGCGGTTGGTTGGTCAGCTGGCCCTGCCTCCTGGTTGAACTCCCAGTAGGGGACAGTTTGCATATTAGCCTTTTATTATATAGGAAAAGAGCAGGTTGAGATCCCACCTTTTAGGAGCAGTCCTACTTTTTGAAGGGAACAGGGGTAGATGTAATGAGTCTCTCCTTCTTCAACTGTAGAGGCTTCTCTCTCTGAGGCATGACTCTTAGTAGTTTCTTCTGTCACCATGGCAATAATAAATTAGAATTACCTGCTTCAGCCTTGGAGAGTCCCTTTTCCTTCTGAGAATTTAAAATAGACTGGCCTGTGCACGCACGTGCATCTCACACACACACACACACACACACACACACACGCGCTAAATAAATACACAAAATAAAAAGAAATAAAATAGACTGGCACATGTCAGATGGAGGAAAGCAGGCACTGGGTCCTGCCTTAGGATTTCTCATCAGGAGATGTTGGTACTTTGTGATTCAGCTGAAAAATTGAGATGGTGCCCACAAAACCAGGTCCTGGAACAGAATCCTTTGTTGCTCTGCTTCTCTGCCCTGCTGAGCATACAGTTTGCATGATCCCTGTAGGAGTCCCTCCTGCTTGAGCCCTGCTGCATTTGTCCTGTGACAGCAATGTGACTGCTCAGTCACTCCGCTCAGTCATTCCACAAGCTCACCGAGAAAGCAGAGGCAGCTCTTGGTCTCTCTAGCACAAAGCTAAGAAATCCATAGGCAGCTGCAGGGCCAGGAGCTTGTGCTTAACCCTTGGGTGCCTGGCAGTCCTGAGGGCATTCATCCTGCTCCCACAGTGGGAATGACTTGGCTTTAGACCGAACAGAGTGATTTGTGGCTGAGCTCTTCAGCTCCCAGGGGAGAAAAAGGCATGGTGCGGTAGAGAACAAATCTTGGCTCATATCCTGCTTTTACCACTGACCAGCTACGTGACCTTGGGTCTGTTCCTTTTAATATAGCTGACCCTCTATTTCCTTAGCAGAAGTAGCCAGCTGTGCACAGATTAGGTTGTAAGGTTGCATGGGGTAATAGGTATTCAGTAAATCCTAGTGTCTCTCTTCAACTCTCAATGGTAATGGAAACATGACCTTGGGACCCTGGATGACAAATACCCGGGGGCAGGGGAAACAGTGACCACCTTCTCTCGAAGGGCCTCAAAAGAAAAGATTGCCCTGCTGGACTTGGTGGGGAGGAGGGGCCACTTTTGCCCACAGCAAATGGCACATCAGTGTCTCAGGGGTTCTCCTAGAACCCCACCTCTAACTTATTTTCCAGTCTAGAGCAGAGGTCCTCGAACTTTTTAAACAGGGGGCCAGTTCACTGTCCCTCAGACATTCCACACATGCGCACTGCGGGCCCGGGACAAGTCGGCTGCTAAGCAGGACAGGCAGCGGCGGCAAAAACACCCGGCGGGCCGGATAAATGTTTTCGGCGGGCCGCAGTTTGAGGACCCCTGGTCTAGAGTCTCCATTCTGGCCAATCTAGTTGTTCCAAGCTATTGTTCTTTCCCTTTCACTGTCTACACGTATTCCTCCTTCATTCAAACTGCTTTGTCCTCCCCAGGAAGCCTGTGTTGGTTACGTGTACCTCACCTAGGCCTCACCTTGAAGGGAGGTTGTCCCTCAGTTCCCAGGCACTCAGCGTGCACTGCAGGAATCCTGTACTTTCATGAAAGTGACACAGTCCAGCTCAGGGAATACTGAAAAGCTAACCTTGCTTCCCCACTGACTTCCATGGAAAACCAAGAAACGACTTAGGCCAGTTAGGGCCTTGACCTGGGGAAAGAGGTTGAAGATGGACTCTGGTTAACCACTTGACATGAGTTTTGCCAAGGCATTAGCATCAGGACTACTTGTGTAGAACTTTTCAACCCTCTGGACATGCCCATGTCCTACACAGGAGCACATTACATTGTTACTAAGAATGTGTCCACTCTATGACGCCCTTTCATGTGACAGTTCATTTGACAGTTCTTCAGTTGGAAGGTCCTGATTTTATGTAATTACTACATTAGTAGGCTTTTTAGTTTTGTTTGAAATTTTAAGCAATGGATACACTTAACATGAGGGTCTTGTGTACATTGATTTGCCCTGTATTCCTTTTTAAAAATATATATATATTTCTTTATTGATTTCAGAGAGGAAGGGAGAGGGAGAGAGAGATAGAAACATCAATGATGAGAGAGAATCATTGATTGGCTGTCTCCTGCATGCCCCCCACTGGGGACCAAGCCCGCAACCCGGGCATGTGCGCTTGGCCGGAATCGAACCTGGGACCCTTCAGTCCGCAGACCGATGCTCTATCCACTGAGCAAACCAGCAAGCCTGCCCTGTATTCCTTTTTAAAAATTTTTTATTGATTGATTTTGAGAGAGAGCGAGAGAGAGAGAGAGACATTGCTTTAATTGCTTTGATGCATTGGTTGATTCTGTGTGCCCGGGAATAGAATGGATGACACTCTAACCAACTGAGCTACTTGGCCAGGGCTGTATCTGACATCATTCCCCAGAGAGATACTGTGTCTTTTTTTTTTTTAACACACTGTGAGTTTCTTGAAGGCAGAGTCTTCTGTTACTTGAATCTCCCTTCATTGTACCTGGGACTGAGGCAATGATTTATATGCTTAGGGATGAAAGGGGCCAAACATGTTCTTTACCCTGTAGTTCTCAAGGCTCTTCAGGTGGTTCTTTTCTTTCTCTAGAGCGAGTTATCTAATAACCAGAGAGGACTCTGATCTTTGCCTGTTCCTAATGTTCTGCTCTCATTGGAGAGTGGGGAGGTGTGTGTGAGGGGGTGCCCTGTGGTATGAAAGCCCCACTTAGCTTCTCCCCCACACTTTCTTCTAATGCAGACTGGAGAAAATATAAGTGTAGTGAGGGTGGGCCAGGGGAGCTCAGAGGGGCCAGCACAGAAACCATAAATGAAGTCAGGTGAGTCAGCTGGGAAAGGGTGATGAAAGAGGCACTGTGCTGGGGATGCGAGGTCAAAGGCAGTGCCTCTTCAGTGGACCTAGTGCTCAAAAATGGAGCACTTCCCCCTGCCTTTAGGAACCTCCTAAATGTCACATACTGGCATCCTATTAGCCCGCTGAAAGGCCTTACATCCTGTCAGGTGGTTGGTTTGTCCATAGCACCCTGAGCTCTGCTTGGGTGAGCCAGAGAAGGAGGAGGAGAATGGGCCATGACACCAGGGCCCAGGCAGAGGCAGAGAAACCAGAATAGATGATAAACTGGGGGTAGGGAGCTGACATGGGAGTGAAACCAGGGAAGTTACTGAGCTAAGGAAAGGTTTCTGGACTTGGGAACGATTGATAAAGGAGAGAGAAGGGGGCAGTCTCCTAATCTGTGAAGGAACATCCAGAGCCAGACTGAGTTAAGTACCTCGGAAGATGAAGCCTGAGAATGGGGTTTCAGAGTCTAGCCAGGAGGGGAATGTGTGAAGTTCTGAGGTCCTTCCTCACATCCCTCCACCCTGCTAAAATCCCCAGGACTTCGGGCACAATGGAAGACAAACGCAACATCCAGATCATTGAGTGGGAACACCTGGACAAGAAGAAGTTCTACGTGTTTGGTGTGGCAATGACAATGATGATCCGGGTCAGCGTCTACCCATTCACCCTCATCCGTACTCGGTTGCAGGTTCAGAAAGGCAAGAGCCTCTACCATGGGACCTTTGATGCTTTCATTAAGATCCTGCGAGCAGATGGTGTGACTGGCCTCTACCGGGGGTTCCTGGTCAACACCTTCACCCTCATCTCGGGCCAGTGCTATGTCACCACTTATGAGCTCACCCGGAAGTTTGTATCTGATTACAGCCAGAGCAACACAGTCAAATCACTTGTGGCTGGTGGCTCGGCCTCTCTCGTGGCCCAGAGCATCACAGTGCCCATTGATGTGGTCTCTCAGCACCTGATGATGCAGCGTAAGGGTGAGAAAGTGGGCCGCTTCCAAGTGCGAGGGAACCCAGAGGGACAAGGAGTAATTGCCTTTGGCCAAACCAAGGACATCATCAGGCAGATCCTGCGGGTCGATGGGCTTCGAGGCTTCTACCGAGGCTATGTGGCTTCACTGCTTACCTACATCCCCAACAGTGCTGTCTGGTGGCCCTTCTATCACTTCTACGCAGGTAAGCAGGGACCCAGGAGAGTGGGGTGTGGGTTTACTAATGTGGCTAAGATACCCTTGTTCTGTACATGTGACAGAGGGAGATTTAATGGGAGAATGGGCCATTCATTCAGCAAACATTTGATTCAAGAGGATTCAAAGATGAATAATACATAGTTCTTTCCTTCAGGGAGCTTATATTAAAGTGGGGGGAATCAGACAAGTAGAGTAGATTATTGTAGACCATTGTGCCATGCCAGCACGGCCAAGGGTGAACCTGATGAGGGACAGTGAAGGATTAAAGAAGACAGACAAAGAGAATACAGTTGGGGCTGGGTGGATCTTCCATTCCTGGATGAGGACACAGAAAGGTCCAGCCTCCAAGCCCAGGCTTTATTTATTTTTTAATTATTTTTAAAAAATACATATTTTATTGATTTTTTTACAGAGAGGAAGGGAGAGGGATAGAGAGTTAGAAACATCGATGAGAAACATCAGTCAGCTGCCTCCTGCACACCCCCTACTGGGGATGTGCCCGCAACTAAGGTACATGCCCTTGACTAGAATCGAACCTGGGACCCTTTAGTCCACAGGCTGAAGCTCTATCCACTGAGCCAAACCAGTTAGGGCCCAGGTTTTATTTTATAGTCAAAGCAAAACAAGGAAGTAGTCAACATGGTTGCAGTGTTGTGAGTTTCACCTTGTTTTGGCAGCACTTGCTGCACCTCCCACAGCCCATTAGCTGCCTAGGAAGGAACTAGGGAGAGGCTAGAAGGTTAAGTTGAATTATGCTAAGAGGGCTCTGCCCTCCAAGCTAGGACTTTTTTGTGGCCCTGCCACAGGTCAGTCAGAGGCTTGACCCTATAGCCGCTCCCTACAGATCATAGAATGTATTCTTTGTGCATTGCAATCAACTAGGGTTAGTGGAATATTGGCAGATAATTGGAAGATAGAAAAGGACAAAATTAAGGGGTATTTGGGATTTGAAGATAAAATTGATGAATAATAGTGAGGTTTTGAGTTGGATGCCTTTCCTCAGCATTGTTAAATTCAAGATGTGATATAACCATGAACCTCTGCACTCCTGTATTTTTTGTTTATAACACGTTTTACTTCTTTTTAAGTATTTCCCAGAAATGGGATTACTGTGTTAAAAGATAAGATTTTTGAGAGCCTCAATAAACATTGCCAAACTTCCTTATGAAAGGGCAGAATACATTGCCAAGAGTGTGCCTGCTGCCCTTGACATGGCAGCTTTGGGTAACTAGCAAATTCCAGTTAGGGCAGTCTGTGCTTACAACCTCCCTAACCCTGCTGGCCTCTAACCCTTGGCAGTGGGCATTCTGTCTTATCCCATCTGGAACTTTTCTAACCAGATTTTATAAGGACTTCCTAACCTAGAATCATTTTGTTTCTATGGCACTGTACTTTTATAGTTCTCCTGTTTTTCTGATTGTACCTCTTCCTCCTCCTCCTCCTCCTCCTCCTCCTCCCCCTCCCCTTTTTTCCTCCTTCCTTTTCCCCCTCTATCACTTTCTCCTTCTTAACTAGCTCACTTTCTTTTTTTCCTCTCTGTTTCTTTCTTCTTCGTTTAACACAAGAGTATCTGGTAAGCCCTGACCAGTTTGGCTCAGTGGATAGAGCGTCGGCCTGCAGATTGAAGGGTCCCAGGTTTGATTCCGGTCAAGGGCATGTACCTTGGTTGCGGGCATATCCCCAGTTAGGGGTGTGCAGAAGGCAGCTGATCGATGTTTCTCTCTCATCAATGTTTCTAACTCTCTATCCCTCTCCCTACCTCTCTGTAAAAAAATCAATAAAATATATATATTTTTTAAAAAAGAGTATCTGGTAAAATTCACATACCTGGACTCTTCTTCTGATCTTTTGTATCAGATTCTGTGGGAATGGAGCCTGGCAATCTCTTTGTCTTTTTTTAAAATATATTTTTATTGATTTCAGAGAGAAAGGGAGAGGGAGAGATAGAAACATCCATGATGAGACTCATTGATCAGCTGCCTCCTGCATGCCCCCCACTGGGGATCAAGCCTGCAACCCAGGCATGTGCCCTTGACCGGGGAACTGAACCTGGGACCCTTCAGTCTGCAGGCTGATGCTCTATTCACTGAGCAAAACCAGCTAGGGCGAGCCTGGCAATCTTAATGTTAAAAAAAACTTCCTAGGAAATGTGAGCATGTTCTCTGGAGTCTGTCATCTCCCTTCTCTCTTCATTTGATTTCATTTACAAATGAGTTGTACTTTTCTAATATGTCCCAAAATCTCTATTTCCATTTCCAGACTAACCTCTCCAGAGCTCTGCTCCAGACAAATATTCTGACTGACCTCTCAACTTGGATGCATGTATTTACATCTGAAATTTTACCCTATGAACTATTCTTTTTTCATATATACATATTCTAGTGGCCTGGTGCATGAATTCATGCACATTGAAAGGAAATTAATTAGAAGAAATATTTTAATACTAGAGGCCCAGTACACGAAATTTGTGCACGGGGGGGGGGGGTGGTCTCTCAGCCCAGCCTGCACCCTCTCCAATCTGGGACCCCTCCGGGCTCTATGAACTATTCTTCTTCCCAATTTGGTTTTCCCTTCTGACTTCTTTCTATGTGTCAGTGGTCATGTTATTTTCCAAATTGCTGAGACTGAAGCCTTGGGGATTGAGCTTGGCCACACCCTTTTCCTTGGCTCCACATCTAGTCCTTGTGACCCCAAAATGTCTTTCCAAACTTTCTCTCCATTCCTGCTGCCTTTCCTGGAAACCATGCCACTGTTACCACCTTCCTGGACAGCAGCATCAGCCTGTTCTCTAGAAGCCTCTTCCTTCCTATCACTCACTCCCTAATGGATTAACTTTTTAAACTCTGTGTTGTTCAGTAGATCCACTGCTTGCTGAGTAAAATCCAAACACTTCAGCCTGGCTTTAGCCTCCCTCTATAGTGAAACCACGTGCTGCTCCCCTGTGTATAGTTTGTGCTGCAACCAGCCAGCTACGTACAGTTCCTCAACCATGTGTCATCTCTCCTACCTTTGCTTTGTTCATATCACACCTCTGCTTCAATGCCTTCCAGGGACACTTACCGGTGTGAAATCATGACTTATGTGCTCCTTATTGCCTCCTATCCCATCCTCTCCATGTAGCCCTTAACCCAGAAGTGACCTTTCCCTCCTTTCAACCTCCATTATATTGCTTGAATCTTTCTTAAGGTTGTTATTACATTTTCCTTGATGTTATTTGTGTGTGCCTTATCTCTTCTACAATGTGGATTCTTTAATTTTTTTTTTAAAATATATTTTGTTGATTTTTTACAGAGAGGAAGGGAGAGGGATAGAGAGTTAGAAACATCGATGAGAGAGAAACATTGATCAGCTGCCTCCTGCACACCCCCTACTGGGGATGTGCCCGCAACCAAGGTACATGCCCTTGACCGGAATCGAACCTGGGACCTTTCAGTCCACAGGCCGACGCTCTATCCACTGAGCCAAACCGGTTACGGCGATTCTTTAATTTTTAATGCACATTTTCCAGCTATATTGATAAGTAATTCACTGGAAAGGTTCTTGGATGGGGGAGGAAACTAACATTTGTTGACTATCCACCATGTGCCAGGCTCTGTGACCACTGTGTCTCTTAGACTCTGGTGAATTGATGTTCTCAGTAAATATTTGTTGAATGAGTAGACTGGTTCTCATTATCCCATTTTGCTTAAAATCTACCAGTGCTGACTTGTGGGCATTTAGAATAAAATCTAATGCTTCCCGTGGTCAACACTGGTCTACATGATCTGTACATGATCTGGCTCCTATCTGCCTCCTCAGCCCCATCTTGTGCTACTCTCCCCTTCCTCACTCTGGTCCATCTTCACTGCCTTTCTCTCAGTTTCTAACACACCAAGCTCCGTTCTCACCTCAAAGCTCTTGCAAATAATGTTCTTTCTGCCTGGAATACCCTCTCCCTGTTCTTTGTATGGCTGGGTCTTTCTCATGCTTCAGGCCTTGGCTTCCCGTTTTCTTTTTCAGCACCTTGTTTCCTGCAGAGCACTTGTTATAATAGCACTTGTGATAATTTGCAGTTATTTTATCTCCAACCCCAGCTTCTTTTTTTTTTTTTTTAATATATTTTTATTGATTTTTTACAAAGAAGAAGGGAGAGGGATAGAGAGTTAGAAACGTCAATGAGAGAGAAACATCGATCAGCTGCCTCCTGCACACTCCCTACTGGGGATGTGCCCGCAACCAAGGTACATGCCCTTGACCGAAATAGAACCCGGGACCCTTGAGTCCTCAGGCTGACGCTCTATCCACTGAGCCAAACCGGTTAGGGCCCCAGCTTCTTAATTAGACTGTAAGGTCCATAAAGGCATTTCCCTGTCCATTTCTGTTTTATGTCTAGTGCTTATCTCAGTGCTTGGCATCTAGTAAGCATTAAACAAAAATGATTTATATTACATGTCCAAAGTTATTTAACCAGGAGAGACTTAAACCAAGTCAGATAATAGGTGCCCAGTAATCACTTGTTGAATGAATAACGGAGAAGGAAAGACATGGGGCTCTTTCCCCTACCCTCTTGCCTTTGTTTTTCCATCTCTCCCTAAGCCCCAGGAAAATGGCATGTATGCATGTCTAGAATTGGCATCTGGATCTCACTGCAGCTTACAGGCCTGAGGGCTAGTGCAGACAGGCCCAAGGAGGCTGGCAATGCCAGCCCAGATGCTACCTTTAATGGTTATGAAATGCTTTCTTGTCAAGAGAAACAGGACACCCATGAGGAGGAGTCACCAGTTCACTTTGTTTCTATTTGTATGCTGACCCTGGGGAAGAAAGTGATTAGAAATCAGGGGAGATGGTTCTGGTAGGGCTTAAGGAATTCTGCCATGCTGCTGGGTCCTAGAAGCTCTCACTTCTGCCCTGCCAACCCCTACCATCCTACTTATTCCCTAATATTTAGTTGCCTGGCTACAAAATACCCAAACTAGGAGCATGAGAAAAAAATGTAAAGGTATTATGGTGATTGAATTGTAGAGAGAAAACTGAGGGAATCTTTGAAGATGATAAATCTGTTTTACATCCAGTCTCAGAGTAAAAGCCAAAGTCCTTGCAGTGGCTTCAAGGTCCTAAATGACTTCCCTCCTGGACCTCATCCTGGTCTCTCCCTCATTCTGCTCCAGGCATACTGGCCTTGCTGCCCTTTGAAGATTTAAGGTGTCTCAGGACCGTTACATAGGATGTGACTTCTGCTTGGAAAGTTCTGTCAACAGAGCCTTATAGCTTGCACTCTTCTTTAGGACTTCGCTCAGACTTCACCTTCTGAAGAGGGCTTTCATGACCACCTTGTTTAAAATGGCAGCCCATTCACACCCTACCTTTGGCGTTCATTTCCTGTCTCCTTTCCTGCTTTATTTATTTATTTATTTTTTAAAGATATATTTTATTGATTTTTTACAGAGAGGAAGGGAGATAGTTAGAAACATTGATGAGAGAAACATCGATCAGCTGCCTCCTGCACACCCCCTACTGGGGATGTGCCGCAACCAAGGTACATGCCCTTGACCGGAATTGAACCTGGGACCCTTCAGTCTGCAGGCCGACGCTCTATCCACTGAGCCAAACCGGTTAGGGCCCTGCTTTATTTTTATCTAGCTAGCACATATCACCTTCTGACATAACTATATATTTTGCTTTTTATTTGTTTCTTCAGGCAGTTAGAATGTAAATGTCACAAGGGCAAGGATTTTGAGGCTCTCTTATACACTGTTATATCCTCAGAACCCACAGGGACTGGTTCATGGTAGCCATTCAATACATTTTTGTTGAATAAATTAATGAGCTCTTGTCTTTCACTTCTAGAGAGAGTAAAGCAAAAAATTCAATTGTAGGTGAACTCAGTGATACTGGGAATGGGTGACTCTGGGTATTATTCAGTCTTCTTTTGTTTTGTTTGTTAATCCTTACCTGAGGATATTTTTTCCATTGATTTTTTAGAGTGGGGGGGTGGGGGGGGGGAGAGAGAGAGAAAGAGAAAGAGACACATAGATGTGAGAAGACAGATCGATTGGTTACCTCCTGAATGCAACCAACTTGGGATGGGGATCTAACCTGCAACCAAGGTACGTGCCCTTGACCAGGAATCAAACCTCCAACCCTTAGGTGCACGGGCAACATTCTAATCACTGAGCACACCAGCCAGGGCTATTATTCAGTCTTCTTCATCAGCATTTTGAAAAATAAATTTTTGTTTCTTAATATAGGCTGTAGGATATGACTTTCTCTTTTAATTGTAATTTTGTTGTTTGTAAAAACACATGATTCAAAATTCAGAAGGTAGGGCCCTGGCCAGTGTGGCTCAGTTGGTTGGAGTGTTATCCTGTGTACCAGAAGGTCAAGGCTTTGATTCCAGGTCAGGGTACATGCTACAGTTGTGGGTTCGATCCCTGGGGGCGTGTGCGAGAGGCAACTGATTGATGTATCTCTCACATCGATGTTTCTTTCTCCCTCTCTCTTCCTCCATCTCTAAAATCATTTTTTTAAAAACTTCTTAAAAAATTCAAAAGGTAGGAAAGAAGGGTATACTGTGAAAAAGCCCCCATCCACCACAGTCATACAACTCCCTGCTTTAAAGACAATCAGTGTTACCAATTTTTTTTAATGTTTTTTTTAAAAAAATATTTTTTAAATTTATTTCAGAGAGGAAAGGAGAGGGAGAGAGAGAAACATCAGTGATAAGAGAGAATTACTGATTGGCTGCCTCCTGCATGACCCACACGGGATTGAGCCTGCAATCCTGACATGTGCCCTAACCAGGAGTCAAACTGTAACCTCCTGGTTCATAGGTCGATGCTCAATCACTAAGCCACGCTGGCTGGGCAGTGTTACCAGCTTTTAATGTATCCAACCAGTTATTCCGTGCATATAACAGAAAATATGTAGCGTGTGCTTTTCTAGCCTATGGGTTGGGCGAAGCAGAACACAAGCATAAGATTGTTATAACAGGAAGGAATTCTGTCCATCAGATGAAAGGAGTCAGCAAGCAAAGAGGTTTTGAAATTTCCCTCTCCAGAGATGTAACCAAGATGACTTCTGGATGGAGCCTCAGATTTATAATTTTTTGTTGGTTCAGAAGGAAGCAAAGAGAAATAAAGATGGGAGTTATGTGAATTGGGGGCTCTGAGGTGGCTAAGGATGGAAGGTTTGTCATCATTGGCCCAACTGGTAGAAAGTGTGAGGGCAGACAGGGTGGTACCTCATGTCTTAAGGAACTGTCTTTCCCTCCATTCCAGAGCAGCTCTCGTCTCTCTGTCCTAAGGAATGCCCTCACATTGTGTTTCAAGCCATCTCAGGGCCCCTGGCTGCAGCTACGGCTTCCATCCTCACCAATCCCATGGACGTCATCCGAACCCGAGTGCAGGTAAGGCCAGCCTCCACCCCAACCCTCCTCCCGCGTTACCCATTAGAAGTGTGATCTTTAGGCCTTCCAGCCTTCCCTGACCTCTTTGTGTCACGGCTGTGTAGGTCAGCCAGCATCTCTTGGTCATCCAAGCCCCTTTCTTGTGGTTATGACCTAGCATTTACAGAAACCAGCTGAGCGGTTTGAAGCACCTAGAATGTTTTTTTCATCCTGTCTGCTAGCTTGCATGCTTCTGTTCCTTTACTTGCCCATGCCTCTAGGAAATTCTTGCTGGTTTCTTCTTACAGCCTTTTATCCTATTAGCATAGCCTATAACCACCTTTTCCTTACCTGCATTTAGAAATATCAATTTCAGTTCATTTCCTAGGTCTGTTTGGTTTCTCTCTGTGAGCTCTCTACAGGCAGTGAAATTGTTCTTTTTTTTTCCCTTTTGTGCCCACCAGAGGATATGTTTTTATTGATTTTAGAGAGAGAGGAAGGGCGAGAGAGAAGAAGGGAGTGAAAAATGCTGATGTGAGAGAGAAACATTGATCAGTTGCCTCCCGTATATGCCCTGACCGGAGATTGAACCTGCAACCTGGATATGTGCCCTAACTGGGAATTGAACCCGCAACCTTTTTATGTGCGGAACGACACTCCAACCAGCTCAGCCACACCAGCCAGGGTGAGACTGACTGTTCTTGAATAGGTTTCACAGATTGTACTGTGTGGACTCAGCAAAAACACCGACAAAGCCCTTGGTAGTGCTGTGCTGAAGTTATAGTTCTTGTCTTCATTCAGCTCAAAAACAATTTCAGGGTACCTAGTTCAAGGAAATAAAATTTGAATGATGACATATAAAATATAAATGGCAGGTTTTGCTGTATAAAGCTTTAGGTCAAGAGAATGGAGGGCTTTACTGTCTGATTTGGATAGCTTCAGAGGAAGCTGAGGAGGGGAGAGAAGAAAAATAACAGTAACAGCTTGGGAGTGCAGTCAGCTTCCCTAACACCAGGATGTTGGGATGGAGGTGGCTGGTAAATCTAGGTTTACTTTTTTTTAATCATTTTTTTATTTTTCAATTACAGCTGACATACAATACTGTATTAGTTTCATGTGTACAACATAATGATTAGACATTTATATAAATTACAAAGTGATTATCCCGCTAAGTCTAGTACCCACCTGACACCATCCATAGTTTTTACCATATTCCCTGCTGTACTTTACATCCTGGCACTGTTTTTCTAACTGGCAATTTGTACATCTTAATCCCTTCCCCTTTTTCACCCAAACCCCCTCTCATCTGGCAACCATCAAAACGTTCCCGTAGCCCTAGCCAGTTTGGCTTAGTGGTTGGATTGTCAGCCCTCGGACTGAACAGTACTGGGTTCAATTCCAGCCAAGGGCACGTATCTCAGTTGCAGGCTCGATCCCTGGCCCTGGTCAGGGCAAGTGCAAGAGGCAACCAATCCATGTGTCTCTCTCACATCAATGTTTCTCTCTCTGTCTCTCCCCCTCCCTTCCACTCTGTCTAAAAATCAATGGGAAAAATATCCTTGGGTGAAGATTAAAAGAAAAAAATGTTCTCTGTATCTATGAGTCTGTTTCTGTTTTGTTCATTTAGTGTTTTAGATTTCACATAGAAGTGAAATCTTATGGTATTTGTCTTTCTCTCTCTGACTTGATTCATTTAGCATAATGCCCTCTCGGTCTATTCATGTTGTTGCAAATGGCAAGATTCCATTCTTTTTAAAAGTTGAGTAATAGTCCATTGTATATATGTACCACGTCTTCTTTATCCATTCGTCAATCGATGGACGCTTAGGTTGCTTCCATATCTTGGCTATTGTAAATAATGCTTCAGTTAACAGGGATGCATGTGTCTTTTCGAATTAGTGTTTTGGGTTTCTTCCAATAAATACCCAGAAGTAGAATTGCTGGGTCCTTCTTTGCCTTTGTGATGAACTCCTTTATCCTTGTCTGGGAAAATCTAGATATTTTTATCTCAAGAAAGAATGCCCTCCCCCCACCACACACATTTGAAAATGAGTACTAGTAAGCTGGCATCTGATTAGTTTGTAAATAATAAAGTACAGAGGTTCCATCTTCATTCTCTCCTGAGCCTTGTCCTGGGTGTTCTGCAAGGAGATCCAGGGAAAGGATAGGTCTCTACTCAGAGGTGCTTCCAGGCCAGAGGAGACAAAGTGCACATGAGGGCTAGAGGTATAGCTAAAAAGCCCTTGACGTGGCCGAGGATAAGTGTGAGGGTTAGGTGGTCAGATGAGAGGACTGAGAGGAAGACGGGAGTGTGGAGAAGAGTGTTAAAGGAGGCAGGACGAGTGGGTAGATGTTCTTAGCCACAGGTGGGACCACCTTGTGAAGGTCATACAGTACAGGAGGAGGTGTAACAAGGAGTGCACCTGTCCTGCCTTGACTGAGGGTCTGAGTGGGTGGTATCTAAAGATACAATTTGGTGGCCGGATTTATGGGGAGACGGAGGGGGCAGGACTGTTGAGAAAGAAAAGATTCCTGCCTTAGCCAGGCTTCCAGTGTGATAGGGAAGATAGGTGCCTGGGAAACAACAGAGTCAGGGGGGGACCCCAGCCATGGGGGTTCAGAGGGATTGAGATGATCAGAGTCAGAATCCCAGATGGGCAGAGCTGCAGAGGGCCTTAGAGGTGATTGAATCAGCCGCCCAGAGACCAGAGAAAAGCACCCAGTCCAAAGCTCATCGCCTGTAGTTTATCTAATGACAGTAATGACTAATGCTTATTGAACACTTACTGTCTGCCAGGTCCTGTTCTCAACTTTTACAAGTCTTTTGTTTACCGCTCAGAACCACGTGGCATAGGGCTATCACTGTTTTGTATTCACGGAAACTGAAGTGCAAAGAGTGAGTTAAATTACTGAGGTTATGCTGTTAGTAAATTGGGGAGCAGAATTCAAATTCAGTTTTCCCTAAGGCAGAGGAGCTGTGACTGCAGACCATGACCCTCCTCTGTGTTGACTTTTCCAGGTTGAGGGCAAGAACTCCATTATCCTGACCTTCAGACAGCTGATGGCAGAAGAGGGGCCTTGGGGCTTCATGAAGGGCCTCTCGGCCAGAATCATCTCAGCCACGCCCTCCACCATTGTCATTGTGGTCGGCTACGAGAGCCTCAAGAAACTGAGCCTCAGACCTGAGCTGGTGGACTCGAGACACTGGTAACAGTGTGGGAGAGAAGCCTGTTTCCCACACGACTCTGGGGAGGGGACAGAGCAGGGAGACAGCACCCGCTCTACGGCCCCCCCACATCCCTAGCCCTGCCCGGGGCCAGGTGCCCTGGAGGGACAGGGACTGAGACCTTGAACTGCTCTTGCCGAAGAGGCTCCACACCTGCAGCTCCTGCCCGTTATTTAGTTTTCCTGCCCAGCGGGCTCCCTCACTCAGCCCTGTACTCCATCCTGCCCTAAGGAGCCCACCCTCCCCACTAGTCCCACTCTGCCTCCCGCTAACCCTTCTGGTTTCCCTTTCCATCTGTGTCCCTGAGATCCTGAGAAGAGCTGTACATAGAGCTTGCTTACTGCCACTGGTTCTTCCACTTGGGCCGCCAGCCCAGATTCCAAGCAGTTTGCCATCAGCCTTTTCCTGCTTCGTCTCTTAGGCTTATTTTTATTTTGGGACTGATTTGCCCACCAGACTACTCTGCTTTTTCCTGCCACTGGGGGCAAGGTGCCAAGCACTTTTGCACAGGGAGTAGGCACAGCAAAAGCTTCAGAGTGCTCATCCTCTCTTCGGAGTTATTAGATTGGGAGAAATGTTAATATTTTATTTTGTGTGTTTATATTGTTTTAACATCTGTGAACCAGGTTACTGTCTTTGTCCTGCTAAAGCACCTATCCAATCCTGCAGTCAGAGCCCACCCTTCCTCCGAAAAATACAATGTAGCGTTTCCTTCAATATCAGTTCCCTATCCCTTCCATGTCCCTGCAGTCCCAGGACTTAAAGCTGCTGGCTTCCCCGGGCCCAGACGACTACAGTGGTAGGCACAAGTCTAAGTAGACCAGGCGGCCTGGGGCACACGGGACTTGGAGCACTACCCTGAAAAGTCAGATTGAGAGAGTAGCTGGCTTGGATAGGCCAAGGGGGGGTGTGCCCCAGCCCCTCTCCCAGCCCAGCTGAGCCAGGCCTAGGAGAGGGCAGTTGTCACACAGATATATCCCAATCACTTGGACTCACGGAAACGAATGTTGTCTCTGACACGTGGAACTGTCTGTGTTTTCTTCTCCCCAATGTGAAGTCATCCCGGTCATGGCACCCTCTCGTGCAGCGGTCGCCAACCAGTGGTCCTCGGATCACTGCTGGTCCGTGAGGTCTGTGAGGCCCGAAAGGCTGGCGACCGCTGCTCGAGGGGGATGCTTGGAAGAGAGCGGGCCAGGAAGTCACCCAACACCAGGACCACTACACACCAGCCTGACACTGCCGAGGTTACCTGTTGATGCTCCCGGGAGCTAAGTGAGGAGCGTTCCTTCCCTGCCTCGTCCTACCTTGTCTACCAAGCCCGTGTTGCAGGTGAGAGAGGTGCAGCAAAAAGGATGAGAAGAAGGCATATCAAACCCTGCACTTGTACTTAAGACATGTGGCCAGGATGATCCTTCAAACCTTCTTATTGGTCCCGCCCCCTGGGAAGGGCCATGGTGCCAGTTTGAAAGGTGCTAGCTACCTTTTGAAGCCTTGCTGTTTCTTACAGCTGCCCCACATTCTATCGCCCTGGCCAGATCAGAATCTGAAAGACACATTTTTCTACCTTCACCACTGACACTGCCCATCTTGGTCTTTTATCTTTGAGGGTTATTTTCCCTTATTTTGGTTTGCTTTTTCTTGCACTTTGTCAAGATTCCTTCCCACCCACAAACGGTCATCCAAAGGGTTAGGCCCACAGATCATTCTGAATCTTCCTGCCCCTCAGTCACCCCTTTACCTTAAGAACCACTAACATAACAGAAGCCAGCCTTCTTTCTCTGTCTTTGTTCCTTTGATTTTTAAAAATATATGTATTTTATTGATTTTTTACAGAGAGGAAGAGAGAGGGATAGAGAGTTAGAAACATCGATCAGCTGCCTCCCGCAACCCCCACCCCCCCACTGGGGATGTGCCCGCAACCAAGGTACATGCCCTTGACTGGAATCGAACCTGGGGCCTTTCAGTCCGCAGGCCGATGCTCTATCCACTGAGCCAAAGCGGTCAGGGCCATTGATTTTTTTTTTTTTTAAGAGTGGAAGGGTGGAGAAGGGAGAGAGAGAGAGAGACATTGATGAGACATCAGTTGGCTGCCTCCCACACCCACCCCAACAGGGGCAGAGATTGAACCTGCAACCCAGGTACCTGTCTTTGATGGGAATAAACTCCAGACCCTCTGGTGCACAGGCTGTCACTAACCACTGAGCACGCCAGCCAGGGCAGCCTTCTCTCTTTCAACTCACTCTAGTGACCCTTTTGGAGATTGTTTGTCAGCCCACACCTTCCCCTCCCTGAAGCTTGTCCCCACTGGGCAGCGTGGGTGAAGTATCACCGACAGGGGTCGTCCTGCCTCACGCCTTAGATGGTTCTCCTTCCCAGACTCCTTTCCTTCTGATTTATTTTATGGTACAGTATTTCATAGCCATTTGCCCATATTCTCATTCTCTCTCTCTCTCTCACACACACACACACGTTTCAAAGGATGATGAGTTTTTTTGTTTGTTTTAGTGAAAGGAACCCCTGCCCCTACTTCCCTATCTAATTGGGTTCGAATAAAACATGTCTTGGTGGGACTGGGACAGTGGGCTTCCGTTTTCCCAGGACCATGGAGCGGACCAGCTGGCAGTTCCCATGTGCCGGTCCAGAGCCCAAACTGGAAGAAATTCGGAGGCCAGGCAGACGGGAAAGCTGATGGGCGTATTGAGGGACCGGGAATGAAATAGGCGCGGTTAACATTTGATAAAGTGGACTCTTGTGAATACTAACTGCGAACACTCGTTCACTGTTGCACTGTACGAAGTCTTTGAAGTGTAATTAAAAGTTTGTATTGAGCCCTGAGCTTTTGGCTGGCGCCTGTTTTGCCGGCCTGTGGATTAAGTACTAAAGTGCACTACACGCTACTCACCTGTGCACAGGCCTCGTCCTCCAGCAGTTTCCCCTCCCCCGTGGGCGACTCGGTGACGGACATTCCGCTGCTTCCAATCGGACGCGCCCAATGCCGGGAGCGGCCAATCGGGAGCTCCGGTGGGCGGGACATCCTGGCCCGTTAGATTTGGCGGTTCCATTTTAAGATGGCCGAAGCTAGCAACGCCAGTGTTGGCAGCGGCTGTGAGGAAAAAGGGCGGGAGGGGTCGTCCCCCGAACCCGTGTCCCCTGACACTACCATTTCGAGGATGAAGCTTCTCGACACCACAGTAGATACTTTTCTCCAGAAGCTGGTCGCCGCTGGGAGGTAAGGTGAAGGAAGTGGGGTGAGGGCAAATCTCAATAGGTTGGCGCGTGAGAGGAAAGAGGAGCGAGTTTGGGCCGCCAGAACGTGAATCCCGCGAGACCAGCTCGGGCCAAGGCAAACGGCAGTCACGTGGGCCCGGGTGGGAGGCGTGTGGACCGGCGGTCCGAGCGGGCGGTGGCCCCGCGCCTCCAGCCGGTCGGGTTTGGACCAAAACTTCAGGTGGCGGAGGGGAAAGATAGCGGCTCCGGAACCAGAACCAAGACCTGACCGCCCTGTGCCTCCGTCTCTCATCAGTGAAATGGCAACAGTAGGACCTTTCTCAGCGGGTAGTTTTGAGAATTAAGTACACGAAAGGCGCTTAGTGCCCGCCACATATAAAGCATTAGAACTGTATTATTACGGGAATAATACTGCCTTCACTGGGTGGTTGTGTGTTACCATAGAAACTTTTTTCCTGTCTGATTTTTATTTTCCACGAACAGTACTGTAACGTTGTTGGACACTGACGCGTTTTGCCCGGGATCCCACCACCCAGCATGTTGGTGAAACGCTGTTAGTGGAGGCGGCTCGATAAAGCCCGCTCTCTCTCCGCCCCGAGGCCCCACACCTGTGCTCTGGCCCTGGCAGGTGCGATGCGGTCGCTTGGGCGGCCTCCCCTGCAGGGAAGGGCTTGTGGGTTTGATTCCCGGTGAGGACGGGCAGGAGGCAGCGGATCTAACCCTCACCCTTTCCCTTTCTCTCTCAAAATCCATTTTAAAATCTTCGGCAACCAGGGCATGTGCCCCGACCAGGAATTGAACCGTGACCTCCTGGTTCATAGGTCGACTCAACCACTGACCACCGGCCGGCCCCTGAGAAATGTCTGAGCGCCGCTTCCGCCAGGCATTGTGTCCGGTGCTGGGGAAGCAGACAGGGCCCCTTATTGGAGCTTACATTCGGTGGGTAGAGACACTCAGTAAACAAAGCAATCACAGCTGGGTCAGGTAGTGAACAGGTGAGGTGATAGGAGCAGCTTGGGGGGAAAGGAACACACGAGCTAGGCTGGTTAGGGGCGCCCGCTCTGAGGAAGTGACATTAAACAGAAACTTGAACAGTGCGAGAGAGAACTAGAGAAAGTGCATGGGCAAAGGGTACAGCTTGTGCAAAGGCCCCAAGGTAGTCAGGGCATTCTGGGAACTGGCAGAGGCCTGCTTGGCTACAACATCATGATCAGAGGGGGATTGAAATCAGAAGGCTGCCAAACCGGTTTGGCTCAGTGGATAGAGCGTCGGCCTGCGGACTGAAAGGTCCCAGGTTCGATTCCGGTCGGGGGCATGTACCTTGGTTTCGGGCACATCCCCAGTGGGGGGTGTGCAGGAGGCAGCTGATCGATGTTTCTCTCTCATCGATGTTTCTAACTCTCTATCCCTCTCCCTTCCTCTCTGTAAAAAAATCAATAAAAAATATTTAAAAAAAAATCAGAAGGCTGGACAGACAGGTGACATCCTTATCATCTAGGGCAGAGGTCCTCAAACTTTTTAAACGGGGGGCCAGTTCACTGTCCCTCAGACATTCCACACATGCGCACTGCGGGCCCCGGACGAGTGGGCTGCTAAGGAGGACAGGTAGCGGCGGCAAAAACACCCGAAGGGGCCGCATAAATGTTTTCGGCGGGCCGCATGTGGCCCGCGGGCCGTAGTTTGAGGACCCCTGACCTAGGGTCTAATTTCAGTAGTATTGAATTTGATAAAATAATTGTTATTTTTATGGGCCATTTATGACACACCATTATATGTGCAGGCAAGATCCCTCCTTTGATTGATTGATTTTTCCCTACTCATTTTTGTCCTCTCCCCTCCCCATAGGCCCTGCATTCTTTTCTCTTGCCTGTATGCCCTCCATTTATTCATGTACAAATATTTATCAACCACCTACAATGTCCCAGGCTCTGTTCTAAAAGCTGGAGATATAACAGTGATCAAGACAGAATAGTTGTTGCTCTCATGGAATAGACATTCTAGTGCCGTAAAGAAAAATAATCAGGGTAAAGGAATAGAAGTGGGGAAAGAGGTCTGTGTTAGTGTGAGTGCAGTGAAGTGACATTTGATTATGTTTGTTTTCTTGTACAATATGTTGTTTTGTGTGTATATGTTTTAAGTTTATATGAATGATAATTGTGCTACATATCTTTTCACTTAACACCTTTTTTTCACTGCAAGGTTTATTTGGTGTTTTATTTATTTTAAAATATATTTCTTTATTGATTTCAGAGAGGAAGGGCGGAGAGAGATAGAAACATCAATGATGAGAGAGAATCATTGATTGGCTGCCTCCTGCACACTCCCTACTGGGGATCGAGCCCGCAACCCAGGCATGCGCCTTTGGCCGGAATTGAACCTGGGACCCTTCAGTCCGCAGGCTGACGTTTTATCCACTGAGCCAAGCTGGCTAGGGCTATTTGGTGTTTTAGTTGGTGTGAACTTGCATAGTTGGCTGCATTCATTTGTAGACTCTCTTTATATTAAATGGCAGTGTACACTATTCTGATACGTATAATATACAAAATACTATCTTTTAGAATTATTATGCACCAGACATGCAATACTGGATTTATACATTAGATCCCAGGATGTGCTTGATTAGAGAAAAAAAGTTGGAGTAGGCATGTTGGGTAAAAGGAACCACAAATTATATAACACATAGTAAACACACATCTAATTTGAAGGGCACTGTGGGGTCAACACCATTTAAAAAATTATTTATTTAAAAAAATATATTGTTGAAAGTATTACATATGTCCCCCTTTTTCCCCTATTGGCCCTCTCCAGCCTGCCCCTGCCCCCCACCCCAGGCCTTCACCATTGTTATCTGTGTCCATGGGTTGTGCATATATGCATACAAGGTCTTTGGTTGATCACTTCCACCCACCCACCTTCCCCCACCTTTCCTCCAAGATTTTACACTCTGTTCCATGCTTCCATGTCTCTGGATCCACTCTGTTCATCAGTTATTTTGTTAATTAGATTCCACATATGAGTGAGATCATGTGATACTTGTCTTTCTCTGACTATTTCACTTATCCTGATACTCTCCAGGTCCCTCCATGCTGTCTCAAAGAGTAACAGATTCTTCTTTTTTACTGTTGCATAGTATTCTATGGTATAAATGTACTATAGCTTTTTTACCCACTCATCTACTGATGGGCACTTGGGCTGTTTCCAGATCTTAGCTATTGTAAATTGTGCTGCATGAACATAGGGGTGCATACATTCTTTCTGATGGTGTTTTGGGTTTCTTAGGATATAGTCCTAGAAGTGGGATCACTGGGTCAAATGGCAGTTCCATATTTAATTTTTTCAGGACGCTCCATACTGTTTTCCATAATGGCTACACCAGTCTACATTCCCACCAGCAGTCAACACCATTTTTTAAAATGATCTAACCATGTCCTGTAAGTGCATATGGTTCAGAGCTTTTCAGTGCTGCTTGTCATTCCAGTTCTTATTCGTTGCCTCTTATGGACACTTTGCCTCGAACTCCTGCCTCCACAAATTACACCAGGGTGAATGTCCTTGTACATCCCCACATGGAGCAGTGCTAGCATTTCTGAGGTCTATAATGGAGGGGAATCACTGGGTCGCAGGATTTACACCCACCTGTGTTTTGTCAAATTTCTTTCCAGAAATGTTGTTCCTGTCTCCTACATCCTCACCATCACTGGGTGTCCACCATTCTAACATTTGCTATTCTGAAATTGTGAAAGAGATATTTTATTATTGTTTGAATCTGCATGTCATTTATTTCCTCATAGGTTTGGGCCTTTCCTCATATAATTGTTAGTCATTTTGGCTTCTCTTCTGCGAACTGCTTTTTTATATATATATATATTTTATTGATTTTTTTACAGAGTGGAAGGGAAAGAGATAGAAAGTTAGAAACATCGATGAGAGAGAAACATCGATCAGCTGCCTCCTGCACACCCCCCACTGGGGATGTGCCCGCAACCAAGGTACATGCCCTTGACCGGAATCGAACCTGGGACCTTTCAGTCCGCAGGCCGACGCTCTATCCACTGAGCCAAACCGGTTTTGGCCTGCAAACTGCTTTTTTATTTTTCCAGAACCCTTTTTTTATTTTTTAATTGGGGTTTTTTATCTTGTTTTTCTGGAGTTCCTGGTATAATATAGAAATCAATCTCTTGCCCTGACCGGTTTAGCTCAGTGGACCTGGGAACTAAAGGGTCCAGGTTCGATTCTGGTCAAGGGAACTCAGTTGCAGGCTCCTCCCCAGCCCGGGCTGTGGTCAGGGCACGTGCAGGAGACAACCAATCCATGTGTTTCTCTCTGTCTTTCCCTCTCCCACTGTCTTCTAAAAATGAATGAAAAAATATTCTCCGGTGAGGATTAAAAAAAAAAAAAATCTCTTGTCAGTTTTAAACTGAAGAAGGAAATATTTTTTCTGTCTGTTAGGTACTACCTTTGTAATGTCCTTTGAGGAATAGAAATCTTTAATCAAATAAAAAGCCCCACAGATTATAGTTTGTACTTTATCCAGGAGGATGAAGCAGAAAGAGAAATGCAGTAATCCCGGGTGACCCCTCACAAGCTGTATGGATCCTCATGACTCC